TAAGAGCAAACGATCAGCTTTGAGTCTGATTGGACACACAGGTGCTGACAGGAAGTGACCAGAGGCAAAGCACAACATTGAGGGCAGTTCTTGAGAGCTCTAATCAGTATAGAAACCATCTTATAAGTCGTCGTTATCAAACAAAAACCATCGTCATTACCATCATCATCATCAATAATATGGAGACCATCATCATTAAGTTAGTAGGTATTCATAAAGAGCTGGGTCTTTAGCTTTTTCTTAAAGGTGCAGAGTTTTAAGTAACTGTCTTGCAGATCTCTGTATTGTTAATCTTTCGGGGGCCTGATACATTTCATATAATTCTCATGAAGTTTACTCACAATTCAAGGTTTTTGAAATGTTTACTAGTAGGTCGGATTGAAATCTAAATCCTACTTTGATTGATGCTGTTTTGACACAACAGCGACGACACCAGCTGGCCACTGAGGACAAAAAGGTTTCAGAGGAGGAAGTGGAGAGCGAGAAGACGCACCAGGGCGAATCGTGTCCTCAAACACTTTGTGTCAGAGAGAAAGAGAGCGTTGAAGGTCTGTGTACTGATATCCTCGGGCTCAGTCACCTGATAGGCCTCATTGCCAAACAAAGAGTTAGAGCAAGACTCCCTGGTTTGTTTGAACTGGAGGAGTCAGAGGAGGAGGAGGAGGGCTGAGCCTGTAAAGGGATCAACAGTCCGGATAACGCACAGGGAACAGACAGGAGCATACATCCATAATGATTTTGGATTGTCTTTGTGGTGTTTTTCAGATGGACTGATGATGTCACTACTTTGTCAGAGGGCAGGTATGGAGCTATACGGGAAACTTTGTAGGGAGAGTGTATTTTCATCTGCGTTTTCCAGTATTAACCTTGATATGCTCGTTTCTTCGGGGGTGGGGTGTGTGTTTTTTGTATTATTGTTAACGGACTTTAGAGAGTTGTAAAAACAAGCCGAATATTCTGTTAAAGAACCGAGACTGCAGGAGGCTAAATGTTTTATCTTATTCTGAATCTGATCAGTGCAGGACGTGATGAAGCTCAAGGATATCAGTCTGCTGCTTTTCTAATCCATTTCAGGGGTCACCCACAAACTTATTGGTTTAGGCTGCAGCTCTTATCAGTCAAAGTTAACCACAGTTGGACTCTGATCAGGTGAAGATGCAAAATAACTTTGTCAAGAGGAGGAAATACCCTGATCTGTTAATTTTTGTCATGGTCCGAGAAATCCTCTATTTTTACAGTCATTTAAACTGAAGCGGTTTCCAATCCAACTTTATTTGTTAAGCACTTTAAAACAACCACAGTTGACCAAAGTGTTGTACAGAAGAATAAATAGAATACGTAACAGCTCACATGAGATAAAAGAAAACTACATGGGAAACACAGAATCAATTTAAAAAGACATAAAACACAAGTAAAATGAATAGGCACGCAAAAAAGAAATCAAATAAGTCGACGTCTTACTGTGTGTCAAAGGCCATGCAGGGAAAAGAGATGGGTCTTAAGAGATTTAAAAACAGGTTTCATGATTGAGGTTAAAGCTCGGACAGATGAAAGAGAATGAGAGGTCAATAATTGCCAATTTTCATTCCATGCATGTGAGACAGTGCATGAAATGAACTGTACTATATCTCTTTAACTGTATTCTATCTTTGAACGCCTTAGAACCGAATGCAAACGTCGACTGAATCCATTTATAAGCACAGGGTGGACATTAAGTTTTACGACGTTACAGGGGACAGAATGAACTCTGTATGTAAGGAGACTTTTTTAAATAGTGGTCTGAAAAATTGCAAGCAAGGGGGAAAAGTCATAAGTGTCGCTATTAATTATGATCTTCCCACATGATGAAATGAAACAGTAGTTTTGGACCAGAAAGTGTTTTGGACCTGTATGTAGAGCTTCTGCATGTTTCCCAGCGTTACAATGCATTAGATGATTTCCTTCAGGGAAACAGAGCAAACACTGTCAGACTGAAAAGTCAACATTGCTCTTTACAGTAACTGACTTTCCAGTCTGTGCAGGAACAATGACTAGAGGATACTTTCTGTCACTGTTGGACACTCCTTTGATAATCCTCTGACTACTCCTGTTGCCTGGACGCTCCTTCAGCTTACTTCCAGGAGTCATCACTCCTATTGTCCATGCTGAAGAGACTCTGATGGATTCTATAAAACAAAAAGAGCTGCAGCTCTGTTGCCAACAGACGTAATTAGGAGATGAAGAGGACGGTATTGACTCTGAACTTAAGCAGTTCTTTTTCAGATGCCGGCCCTTATCTTTAATGGCATGGCCGCTAGGGCTGGGAAATATATCGAGTTTCCAAGATATATTGATATATTTTCAAACACGATATAGGGTAAGACAATATCGTTTAAATCGATATAGTTTATGTTGCATTAAAATAACGTTACAGAGGTGCCAGGTCTCCTTTTTCTCATCTCACTGATGATGACTGACTGTCTGTCCCTCTTAACCCTGCTCCTCCTCTCTCTCTCTTTCATTGTATTTAAGGAACATATTTATTTTATTATATAACTATTTAAATTCACAAACAGGTAGTTTATTTTTCCAAATACATATCGATATATATCGAGTATCGCCATTCAGCTAATCAATATCAAGATATGAGTTTTGGTCCATATCGCCCAGCCGTAATGGCCGGCCACAAGGACTCCTATGGTTAAATGTTTATGTACGGGTCTTTGAAAATTCCTTCTCCACATGTGGAAAGAAACTATGCAGTTGTTTTTCATGTTCTGATACCACCAGTGCAGTTTAATGACCCTGATAGGAGGCAACGTAACACCAACGTTTGCACACCTAAATACTACAAAGACCTGATACTACAAACGACTCTACTTAAACACTATCCAAACACTATGTGGTTTATAAAGCTTATGGTCCCTATGGCTTCTTTCCATCATGTTTTTTTTAAAAGACATAACAGGCAGCTGCCTCATTCAGTGAGACAGGAAACTGAAAAAAAATTAACAAACTTTAGAGATAATGTTTTCCTTTTAAGAAAAATGGGTGGTGTACATGTTGGGATTTGATTGTAGATGGCTGCTTTAATCATAACAAAAATATATGAGCGATCAGAACATAGATGCCAAAAAATGTTATTAGACAAATTTCCTGGTTTTATTTTTTTCTTGAGCATTGAGTACATTTTAAATTGCACACCAAAGTGTCTTCCTGTAAAAATAAAAAGATGTGTAACTTTCAGTTTATGTTAACACTGACGGTGTGTAAGAGACTCAGACAAATAGAAACGTTCTGATCCTGCAGCATATTAGTTTACTTGTGCCATTTTTTCCTGTATTGATCTGTTTTGGCTCCTATAGTGGCAGCTCTCGTTTGTCAAGTTGAACTGTGGCCAGTTTGCATTCAAAGAGCTCAGCTGCAAAGTTCCTTGGATACAAACCAAAGCATACGCTGTGCAGTAGGGAGACTGCTTATGCATATCGATGACTGTTTCTCAGTGTAACCTAAATATCTCTTTACCCCTAACACTGTAACAGAAATCTGCTGAATATTCAGATTTGATTGAAACAGCTCACTACATTAGAGTTTCTTTGAGATTATTTTTTGGGGCTTTTGCCTTTATTTGATAGGACATCTGAAGACCGAGAATGTGGGGAGAGAGAGTGGGGTAGACATGTAACAAATATTGGCAGAATGGGGAGTCAAACCTTCAACCAGTCCAATGAGGGCTGTAACCTTTGAACATGGGGTACCCGATCCACCAACTGAGCCAAACCAGTGCCCCGGTTTAATGGTATTTAGATTAAATACTAAAGTGAACAATGTGTCACACCGCCAAAAATTCACTGGTTAAACTAATTACTATTCAAATATCCACCAAAACCCCCATGAGTGTCTGCATTGAACCTCTATTTGGATCTTGGTATAACCACAATCTTCATCTCCTACCGGGCTAATCAACCTTCAATCTGATTATTTAAATCCTTATGAGGATAGAGAGCGTTTAAATCAGTACTTAACTGTTCAACAACAGAGCAGCTCTGTGGGATCTAACAGCCAGTTTCTGCTAACTGCTAAAGTTATGGCATGTCTCTTTTGATTTTTAAATCTGAGTCTATGTAGTATGAATGGCAAAGAAGCCCTTTTTTATTAACTTTGTTATTTGGTTATTGGTGGAAAATGCCATAATAATAATAATAATACATTAGTTTTATATAGCGCTTTTCTGAATACTCAAAGAAGCTTTGACAAAAACATCAACCCAAAAAACAAAAAACAGTCGATGACAATAAAGGATTCTTGAATCTGAATCTTGAATAGAGTGAAGTCAAACTCCCTCTGGGTTTGTTGTTCTGAGCCCTGTGTTCACACAGTGTTTCCTTTGGGTGACACATAAACAAGCCGGAGGCCCAAACATGTTTCATTCAGGGTTATTTTTTTGTGAACCCCTCCCTCTCCAAACGTTAGCCCTCCCACCATGTGAGGGAAGAAAGGCAGCCCCGCCCACTCAGGGCTGTTTATAAACTTGAGGCATAATGGAATAGTGTCATCGCAAGAGTAGAACTGAAGGAGAACAATACACTTTCCAAAAAGAAGAATAAAACTCCATTTGGTCTAAAATACTTCTGGCTGCATATTAGAACGGAGATCAGTTCTGCAAATGTCTATACTCTGTCAGAACAGTTGGGGGGGGGGCAGTGCGCTGAGGGACAGAGACGGTATGAAAAGAAAGAAAAGTTTTATTTATCTGTCTTGGAGACTTTTGCTGAAGTGCAACATCTACTGGACATCTACTCTGACATATAACACCTTCAAATAAAAGCTTTGCTTGTCATTGTGTTTTTTTATGTAACTTGTTTTCCTGTTTACCACCAACCCGCCAAAGGACTACAGAAGGAAATTAGCCTGTGGTTATAATCTGGCATATTTACAGTTTTATGTTCATTAATGTCCACTGTCTCTATTTTAAATAAATAAATAAAATAAACTGATATTTTATGTTTCTTCTTTTGCAGATGAGATCATGCAGCTGGACAGCAGTCCTCTCCGTGCGGCTGACATCATCCCTGACCTCAAGAAGCAGTTTGCCTTCCTTTCAGGTGACACTTCTTTATCTCTATTTGAATAGAATAGAATCAGATTTATTGGCCGTGTATGCTTACACACACACACACACACACACACAGAGAATTTGTCTTCAGTAACCGTGCTCTCAGTGTGCAAAGTTAAACATTAAACATAATATAAGCAACAAAAAAAACACTAATATATACAAGGCTAAATAAGACAATAGCGCAGCGGTGAGTAGTGCAAAAAAACATGTTTATACTGGACGTTTCACACTGGTACATATGCTGTGTGCTACTTTATTAAAGCAGAATTTAGAATTTACTTATTTTAGGGTCTAAATGACGAATAGGTGCAGCACAAGTAAATACAGAATTACATCGTCTGGCTTTGCAGGTACTAGTCAAGACAATGTACTGACGTTTAATCCTTTGGGGCAACTGCAAAGTGCATCCACTCAAAGTGCTTCTTTTTTTGCCACTAAGAGGCTCAGACTGCTATTTTTAAGAGACTGACCACCATATTTGAAACATCCAGATTCAAGTCGTGAATATTGCAGGAAGATGACGTTGGAAAAGTGAGTCAGCTTGGGAGATATATATGTGTTGTTTTGGAGAACAGGAAGAGTGGCATAGCTTTTCAGTCACTAAAAAAAACAATCTAAGCATGTATGTATGTGGGAAAAACCAGTTCCAGCACTGTTAATGTAAATACTTAGATCATACAAAGTTGTCTCTAATGATGACATTGCAGCCATCACAGCTGCTTTCTTGCCTGCTAGCTTTGCCTACTGGATTCACCTCAAAACTTCTTGTACCTGTCGTGCATGTTATCATGAGATACGTTAATAAAATGGATTTAAAATGCTGACATTACATTTATGAATCATCAGCTTGTGACTAATCATCTTTCTTATCTCTGTCATCTCTTGAATGATTTACTTTTAACTCCGTTTGGAATTTGCGTAGTGAAACGGTTTCTCCTGTTGAATATGATTTGTTAATCAAATATCAGCCACCTTTTCCTCTTCACCGTTTGTTCTCTGTCTGGTTGCAACTGTTATGTCTGTTTTTCCCTCTGGATGTTAAATTCATTAGAAGAAGAAGAAAAAAAGGTTATTTTTCGTCCTCACATCACGTTTGAGACCTATTGTGATTTACTAATCTTTAGCTTTTCAGATATTTGCGACGCCGCTTCTATGCTGACTGTGTTAGTCTAGTTTCTGTGTGTCTGACGGCCGTGACCTTGTGTCTGCTGCAGAGTCCGGGAACCATTTCACAAACACAGATCCGAGCAGACGTTGAAACCATGACCATGCACTTGTTGTTGCCATAGCGATGAGAAGAAGAAGAAGAAGAAGAAAAAGACAGACAGATTGATATTCCAGTCGCATGTGCTGACAGAGCAGCTGTGTGTGTTTGTTTGTGTGTGTGTGTGTGTGTGTGTGTGTGTGTGTGTGTGTTTGTGTGTGTGTGTGTGTGTGTGTGTGTGTGTGTGTGTGTGTGTGTGTGTGTGTGTGTGTGTGTGTGTGTGTGTGTGTTTGTGTGTGTAAGGTGAGATCGAGTGTGTTGATGTCAACAACAGTCATCGCGTTCAAACGCATTGTAAGTGTCGTGTTTCACAACGTGTCACCATAATGGAGAGTAAAACTCTTTCTTTCCTTTTTTTAATAGACTCATAAAAACATTTTTCCCCAGTCACCCTTTTACTTTGAAAGGTTTAACAATTCATTTAGCAGATGAAGATGAGATCATAAAAACACAACTTCCTGCCAACATTAGAGCACTGGTGTTTTATTTGTTGAGACATTTTTTAATATTTTATGGGGGGTTTTTTTCCTGCTCTTCTCACTGGTTTGAAGTGGGCGGAGCTTTGTTTGAAAAAAAGTATGTAACCTTACCGTACAGATGGCCAGTGTGGCCGCGCCCTAACATACCTCTAAGCACCAACCAGGATAATAACATTAAAACCAGAATGTAATTTTATTAGGCGGCTCTTCATGAAAACCACAACAATACTGGAAAAGAAGAAGATTATCATTTTTAAAAATAATTATTCATATAAGATGGGTTTGAAAACTTGAATTTATAATCTACTGATTAAAGCTTCTGTGCTGACCTTCGGTGTGTGTTTTGGCGCCCCCTATGGATAAAAACTATACCTCATCACTTGCTTGATTTTGTTCTGTCTATGTTTCAGTTGTTGTTTTATTAAGATAAGACCCCCCTCCTGATTATTTTTAACAGTCAAATATACCACACTGCGAATATTTGCGTTGGAAAATGTAAACAAAGGCTCTCACTGCAGCGTGCGGTTTTCTAACTTTGTCACCTAACTTTTATGTTATTGCTGTTTTGTTTCTCCTAAAAGGGAAGGTCATGGTTTCTTAAAATGGATTTTGCAGTTTATTTCTGTCAAGCCTCACTCATCTCTAACGGCCACTTTAACATCAGCACCCTCAAGTGGCCACAGCTTCATCCTGTCATCTTCAGTAACCAGCCACTGCCCAGTTTATTTTTAACATTTCCTTCAAATATTGATGACTGAGCCATCAGACAAATTCAGGAAGCTGTACTCAAAGTATTCTTATGTAATTCCTCTATATTTGTCTCTCTGAAATAACTGTTCCTCTTCCATTTTTTAGGAGGCAGAGGGGATAATGGCAGCCCCATCATTGTGTTCCCAGAATTCCCAGCGTTTGGAGAGATCACAGACGGAGAGTTTCACAACGTGCTGACGTACCTGACCAGTGTGCCCAGGTAAAGACTCGAAAACTGTCACACATTAAAACACAGAACACACACACATATGTCGATTACATGTTGTCTCACTATACTCCCAGGCCTTTTCTCACACCTTGTATCACCCCTGAGGTTTCTATCTACCTTCATTTTCCTTATAAGCGTCCTTGGGTTTCATGAAAGGCGCTATATAAATCTAAGTTATTATTATTATTATTATTATTATTATTATTATTATTATTCATTTTATAACCTCGTCCCTTTCTTATCATGAGAATCATCATTACAACCTTGTATTCATTCAACCTTTATTTATACTCGAAAGATCATTGAGGAGCAACCCTCATTTACTATGACATCGAGTCGTTACAGAAATAATTAGAAAACAGACATTAAATCAAAAAGACAAACAGGGGACAGATAAATACAAGACTGCTAAAATCAGTCTACAAAAGGCTAAAATGTACTAAGATAATTAAGGGAGTACAAAACTGCAATAAATAAACACACTTATGTTACAAACAGAGGTTGGGAGGCTTAAAATCAGGTTTCTAAAATGCACCAAAAGGTAAAAGTTAATTTCCCTCAAGAAGTATAAGAAAAAGCAGATTTTCCCAGTTCCGATCTGACTCGAGGAACATTCAAGAGTAAACGTTTTGAGGAACGTGTCTGGTAACGTCCAGTCGAGACATGTATGAGGTAATTTTTCTGTGAGAGCTTTATAAATAGCCCTGTGTTTGTTTTCCATTTCTTTGTAGGCCATAAAAGATGGAGATTTAGTTTGTGACGATAGCTGTGTACAAAGACTGCCAGTAGGGGGCGCTTCATCCAATGACAGTTTCACTCCATAAAGATGCACGCTGCAGAGGGTCTGTGGATGAGATGAAAGAGTTAGTGTAAAAACTATTAGAGGGGTTTTGTTATTATTTAATTACTAAGACGGCAGGTTAATAATCCAGCTCCTTATCAGTCCTCTGCAGACTGCCTTTGTACACATGAATGAATGGACCAGATTTAACAACAGGGGGGGAGGGGTACAAAATCATCCCTTTCTCTAACTATACCCTCTAAAAACAATCTCATGTATCATTTTTAATACTTTATCTTTTTGATATTTCCTCAAAATGTTGCTGTTCCTGAACCTCCATGTGACTGTCTGTCTTTTGCTGCGTCATGTCTGGATTGGTGTAAAAATAGAAACTGCAGAGACTCTGACTATTTGAATCTGAATAATGCATACAGACAGCTGAGCAGAGCTGTGTACGTAACTTAGTGAATGTGTGTTAAATTTATAAGACCACAAAGGCCTGCAGCCGTTTGATCACATAGATGTGCCTGTGTTTAAAGACTTTAAAATGATGTGCTTATACAGTATGCGGCTGTGTTTCATCACGCTTACTTTTCAACCTGTGTAAAAATGTTGAGTGGATTTCATTATGACTCAACGATGATATATCAACTATACAGAAGTTTAAATTCTGGTCAGTGTGGATGTTTTTTTTCCCCAAATGTAGCTTAAAAAATGAGTCCCTAATGATGCACTCCTTCGTGGTTTGCAAAGATCTCGTCTTTGAAGGAGGGTCATCCACAGGAGGGAGATAGTGTTGACCCTCAAGCTGTTTCTGATCATACGGGCAGATGGCTCGAGCTACCTGAGGGACCGACATCCCCCCCCGACAGGGCGCACACGGTCCACAGCCAGGGGCGAATGTCCTTACAACCCTGTATTATGACCTTCACCAGCTGCAGTTGGTGTGAAACACATAGCTTTAGATCCATAGTGATGGCAGACATAGATAGATAGATAATTAGATCGATTAATTTGACAACATTTAAACACATACATGACAGGCTGATCATATCAGACTCCATATAAGAAAAACAAATTGTTGAGGATTAAAAATACACAAAAAAGGCCGAGGGCTTATTTCCATTGTGGTCCTCTATCGCAGTACAAGATGGCAGATCGAATAAGGTGTCAGGCAAGAGTGACACCAGACTAACACAAAAAATGAATTAAAAATATATTTAAAAAAACCCAATGTATAGATCTACAAATTATTTAACAGCCATTTCTTGAGATAATTTCATGTTGATATATCAGTCCATATGTGTGCATGCTTTTTTTTCTCCACCTAAATATGAACTGTTATTATCATTTGTTTTGAGCCAAACCTTCTTCTTGGATATGTGCAGTCTGAAATTATTTTCAGTCTTTCAGTCACATAATTCCCTGCATTCTACATTTTTATTGCAGGATTTAAATCTACAGACACAGGCAGTAAATGACCATGTGCTTTGTCAGACAATCTCCCCATCTCTTTCTCTCTTATCATATATCTTTGGCTTGAAATGCATCTAGTTTTGATCGGCTATATGTTCAAGAGATTAAGACCCCACGATGCTAACACACTCACAGCTCTTCAGTCTGTGTTTGATTAAATATTCCGTTGCCCTTTTATTCAACCAATTACATCCACCACTTCAGTACCACAGAAGAAGAAGATGGCGTGTCAGTTGATGTGTGCTCCATGTCTACATATGCATCCATGCAGCTAATTCCCCTCATCACTGCATTCAATTAGGCCTTCTCACAGCTTAGCTTTACACCTTAGACTGAGAAATCCAATTATTTTTAGGACACTCATGCATGTGCAGTGGAAGCACCAGCTCATGAATTGTATGAATAGTTAAATGAAACATTTAATAAATATGACTGTGTCTGTGCACAGTACAACATGATAACCATCTGAATATTGCATGATTAGGAACAGGCATGCATCCATTTACATTTATATAAATTTAAAATACTTATTTTCAGACCGTAGCTATAAGTTGTTGAATCTATATTAGTCTAAAATCAGATTTGATAATGCATCTTTATCTTCTTAAGATGTTTTTTTAATTTTTATTTATGGGCATATTGCACTTAATTAACATTACATTTTGATATTTTGTACATTACCTTCATCCAAATGTTTTCAAAAAGTCAGTTTACTTCAATTCTAACAGCAAATGTAAAAACAGATTTAAGTGAGACTCTTTCAAAATCTACTCCTCTTCCACACACATCAGAACATTTAGGCCATTGCAATCTTCTTGCAGCCTCAGGTGCTGCTCGCTCGCCATAAACCACCATCTTGACTCAGCAGCTGAGTCTTAGAGGCAGCAAAAAGCCCCTGTACCAGTCTCCTCCTCCTCCTCCTCCTCCTCCTCCTCCTCCTCCTCCTCCTTCACTGAGGTGTAAAGCAGTTTATGCTCTGATAGCCAGACTGGCTGTAAGAGTCCGTGCAGATGATTTGAGAATGATGGGGTTATAAAATAGGAAAAAGATGAAAGAGGAAGTAAAGTGTAAGCCCCTATGAATGTAACTGTTACAGTAAGAGAAAGAAGAGAGGCAGACGTGGATAAAGAGCCTGTGTTTTGTTATTAAATGAAACCCTCGTGCTTTACATTGGCCCCCTCTTTGAGCCTGTCCCCTCCCTCTTATCTGTAACAGTCCCCCGACTGGCTGCTAGAGCTGCTCGTCACTCTGCAGCGAGCCTGTGATTGGCCTTGTGTCTCAGCAGCTCCTTGTGTTTTATTGGCTGGATTAAAGATGCAGTTTAGGGGGGACGGGCTGGATGCTGTGATGGTCTGAAGAATTTGGCTTCCTACCATTCAATCACGCTGGAATCTACCTCTGAACCACATCCTCCATGTGCTCTGTTTTTATTCTGCATGAGGACTGCTCTTTTTAAACTGCTTCAAGACTGTTTGTGCAGCTACAGATTGAAGGACATGACATTAAGTATTTAAGGATTACTGGGATATCTCAAGGTGCTCACCTTTGCTGCAGGTGCAGCATGTGTGCTAACCGTGCTGTTGAGCTGCACATGCCATTGTGATTAATTGTTGGAGGTGTGTAGACCGCCTCTCTCCTGGGACCACCACAGGAGACAGCAAGGGAAGGAGGGCGGGGGGGTGCAGGGGGTGCAGGGGGAGGCTGATGGCCAAAGAAAATCTGGAGCTGCTTTACAGAAGCTCCTTTTACCGACTCCACCAGCTGAAGATAAAGAGCAGCATAGTAAAACGAAAAGCTGTGGAAGATACTGTGCAAGCAGAAGGGGAAACTTCATGTATGTTTAGTGTTGTTCATTTTCAAGCTTTTGTGTTTTCTGAGGACTCTCCATCCCTACATAAGCTCAGTCAGACTTTACTGCAGTGTGTGATTGTTTAAAATCTGATTATATAACCGGAGCACTGTGTAGTTTGTCTTTAATATGTTGCCTCTCTTTGTGTTCCAGTTTGTCTTCGACAGGCGTGGGTTTCATCCTGGTTATAGACCGCAGGCAAGACCGATGGGCAGCTGTCAAGGGGACCCTGCTTCGTATCGCCGTAAGTTCTTCTTTGTTTATGCAACATGCACTTGCTGTTTCTGTCTTTGTGGGAGAGAAGTGGCTATATTTTCCTCAACTGTTTCTATAGAAGGACCCACATTTGAAAGGTTGCACCCTCACACATAAGGAGAGGAGGTTTGTGTGTCTCTCCAAAGCTAATATCAGAACAATCCAGGTGGGGAGTGATGGGAAGTGTGTGTGTGTGTGTGTGGGGTGGTGTGGGTGTGTGGGGGTGGTGTCGATGATATAAGCCTTATCTTTTGAACTCTCTCCCATCACCATCACAGCCTGCCATGTGTTTCCATGACTACAGAGGAAAATAAACAGAGCCTCGTGCCAAAAGACAGGCAGGGGATTAGATTCTCCTTTGTTATAACCATTCCATTAAATGTGTCACATATCATTTCAGCAGCATATCATCTATTATTGTAAAATATGTTCCTGCTTATCTATCATAGAAAACCAGAACAACACAAACACAGAGAAAGTGCTTTATTATTAAATAACTAATGCTGTGTCGTTCAGGAGTTGCAGCCTGCAGGCCTGCACAGTTTGAGCCTCTATGCTCTTACAGAAAACAAAAAGTACATAAACTGTCCACCCTGGTTTTTTTGCATGTTTTTATTTATGTCTTAATCTTTTTTTTGTTCTATATCTTATGTCATTGACTTCATTGTTACATAAGTAGCTTGTAAAAAGGAACTGCAGGCACTCTTAGAGCAGGAGACAAATTAATGCTTCTGCTTTTTATCCCTTATTTAAGTTTTTCCAACCTTTTCCCACTGGGATCCGTTCATCTCTGTGTTTCATGTTTCCTGCAGGGATCTGATGAATCAAGTGTGTGCTGGAGAGAATCACCTCCTTAAGATTACGTCTCATATTGTAGCTATTTTGAGCTAAAGAAGTGGACAGTTTAATAGCATCTCTTTCAACAGAGTTACAATCTCTTTACTATCTCTCATTTGTTGCGTTCATTTGTTTTTACTTCCATAAACGGTTGCACAGACATGTTTTTTTATTGTTGTCAACCAGGAAGATAAAGAATCAGCTACCTGTGTGTTTTTTTTTTAAGACAAAATTTGATTTCAAGCCGCATGAAATGTTTTGTAGAGCGGGGCGAAAAACAAAACGATGAAATGTCAGAAGAGAGAATAGAGGGATAAATATCAGCACCGATGGTCCCAGGAGACACGCAGGAGACCTCATCACTCATTTCAAATTAAATCAAGCTTTATTAAAACCCACAAGGGGGGACGTTTACGGGGGGGAACAGGCCTGTAACAGGAGGCAGTCAGTCATCCAGGCAATAATGTTTGAAGCGATTCAGCCGGGCTGCTAAATGGATGATGATGAAAGCTGCCATGCTTTAAAGCTGTATGTTTGTAGAACCCGCTGGATCACATGAGCAACGCTGTGATCTGTCAGCGAGATAGTGTTACACGCACGAGGATGTAGATCTGTGTTTTGATGGAGATAATAAGCGAGGATATTGAATGTTTACGCTGTCAAATTGCTCCCTTTGTCTTTTTTGTGTGTGTGCATGTGTATGCGCACACACACTTGTGCATACATGAGCCATGTGTGAATGTGGGTCAGTGTGTTTCAGGTGAAAGCTTCCCCATTGTTGTTCACAGCTGAGTTTGATGGGATGACAGAAAGTGTGTTTATAGACTGCTGCTAATTAAGTGGACAGAGTTACTGACAGTCCCTGAAGCATACCCTCCTCTTTGTCATTTTATCTGCTTCTTCTTTCAGGCTCCGTGTGTGCTTGTGTGTGATTGTGTGTGTGTGTGTGTGTTTATCTCTCAGTCTACCAATGACAAAGAACAAAGAACAAGTCGACCATGACCATGACTGCCAGAGACCACAGATCCAGGCTGCATGGTTGAATGGTTAGAGGCTACATTTAAAGGTTAACTCTGGGTATACATCCCACATCTAAGCCATTAAAAATACAAAAAAAACAACAGTTTCCTTCTTTATACCTTCTGTATTCTCTACCCTGTCTGTGGTAGTAGCCTCTAGGCTGATTCATCCGTGCAAACATGAACATTTTTGTTCATATATTTACAGTTTCATCTTCAGAAAATGCTGGGAAAGAAAAATCCTAAATCTGTGCTTTGGTACTTTAGTTCTTGAGAAAAATCACTTATATAATCGAGTTAATCAGTCTGGTACAATCTTCCTCAGTAAATTTGCTGTACTTAAAATCTGCTCATTGATAGTTGTCTAGCTCTGGGGTTCCCAAACTTTTCAGCCCGTGACCCCCATATTACGGTGCTAGAGACTGGAGACCCCCATTGTCCGTGGAGACTCAGCCACGCACACTATTAGGCCTATCCAAACACTGGCATTAGAACAGCACACAATAGCCCAAACACCATCATATTATTTTTGTAATTATTGTAAGAAACTAGTTTTTTGTGTAAATTTTCACCATAATGGATAAAATATGCCATTTTAAACCATGTTACATTTTTACATGTTTTTGCAAAGGAATCTTACAACCCCCCTCTTACAGTATCTCCCGACCCCCCAGGGAGTCCAGACCCTCACTTTGAGAACCACTGGTCTAGCTAACCTCATCTTCGAGACATCCTGCAATAACACAACTTTTAAAAACTGGCAAAACAATCGTTTTTCTGAAACGTGAATTAAGATTTTGAACCATCGAGCTGAAGTTACTGTCCAAGCTCCCACATTACATACACCGAGATTAAAACTCGCCGTTGTCAATCCTAAAATAAAGAACAGAGCCCAGTTTTGTCTTATGCTGTTGCATTGTCATGCCAAAGTACAGGATGTTTCTTTGAATCTTGTCTTGTTTTTATTTCACGTTCTAAAACGGAGCTGCTTTGGTGAAATAAAAAATCTCATCAACAATAAATTCTGATCATGCTTTATAATCATTCATTGAGATTCTATAGCAGTGATATGTGTGGAATGGATTCAAATAAATCAGTTATTAAAGTCTTTTAAAATGTCGATGAGTAGAGAAGAAAAAAATATATATCAGGCTTTGGCTGCACTGGACATAAATGTTGGATCACATTTTAATAAAGGGATTGATAACCAACGAGGAAAATATTTCAACCCCTTGCCAGACTTTTCTTAACGAAGGCGGTTTCTGACTGGGTTGAAGCACGTTTGACACCAATAAACATAGATGCTGTATGTATAACAGCTCTTTAGCATGTATTAAAATGATCTGTTTGTACCACAACAGTTTTCATTCCTGCAGATAGTGGGCGACCTTGTTCACATTGCTCCTCCCAGTTTATCCGGTCAACGAGGACAAACGCTGAATTGATTTATTAATTCCATTAACAGCTCTTTTCCCAGGAGCGTTTTTTTGCATTAATGGTGTATTCATCGTCATTTCTGCTTAGACCAGCAGACCCCCAACTCACTCGGGAGGTGCGGCCAATCAGGCGGAGCAGCCGTTTTGGTCATTAGCTAATTAAAGATGCATTGCCTGAAGAGGAAAAGATCAGTGTCCAAACACAACCATCATCCAAATGCTTTCCCAGCAGTACTTCTCCTGTCAGCCAGAGTCAATCAGGACTTTTATTGGGTCTGTTGGCTGATGTGACTGTGGGAGCTGTCGAGCTAAATTAAGATTTTTAGACTTGATATGGATGTTTTTAACTCTTCCAGTGAAACATGTTTTTGCTTAGTGTTGGACATCAAGTGCCAAAACATGCTTGTTTGAAAAAAAAAAAAAAAAAAAAAATGCTGAATTTATTCACCTGCACAAATGTTTGAGTTGGCAGTGTCTCCTTCTTTCTCATTATTCATGTTGAGGCATCCCAGGATGTAAAGATTAATGTCCCTGCCACAGCTCCACATCCCCCCACATCTCTCCAGTTTTATCTTGAGCTCAACACACTTCACGTACAACAAGCTCGAATGTGTTTGAGCGAGAGTTTTTCACGAGGGGCACAGAGGGACAGACAAAGGAAGGGAATCCTGTGTAGGAGGTGCAGGCACAAAGATGGGATGTATAATTGGCTCAGGGTTGGAGGTAGGATTGTTGTAAGACTCGTTCTTTCCTCTTTTTCATTTCAGGGCTCATTCCCAGGGAACCTCCAGCTGGTTCTGGTCCTGAGGCCCACCACCCTCCTGCAGCGCACGCTCTCTGACATCCTCTTCAAGTTCAACAAGGATGAGTTCAAGATGAAGGTGCCGGTGGGTAAAATCAAGCTTACCTCACTCTTGTTGTTTGTGGTCATACTGATGGAAGAAAAGAAGCTGCTCGTCATGCTTAAAATGCTACTTATCTGATTTGGATTTTTATAGACACTCAAATGTTTTAGGTGATAGCTGTTGCCTCAGTAATGGTTCAATATTAACTGATTTGTTATTGAGGGAAAAACTATTTCTTCCTTCTTTGAAGCAACGAAAATTGAACAAACGAATAATGTCCCTCCAAGAACAAGAACACGGTCTGTAGCTTCTTTTGAGCTGATATATTAACGAAGAGTTTTGACTCTTAAGTGGGCAAAAACTCCTTGTATATACAAATCTAAAAATGAAGCTAATGTGAAAGTGAAAAAAAACTGAAGTTCCTAAAGTGACCACTTGAGGTTTGCTGTAAAAGCCAAGAGAGTCTCAATTTAACAGCAGACATGAACATCTTTACAACCAGTTACAAAAATGTTTCTGGTCTTATTAGCTCATTTCTTTATCCGTAAAACTGTAATGGGTATGATGCTTTAAAAATATAAATAATATGCATAAATTAGCATCATTATTGTCATGGTTGAGATGGCTGTATTGTAGCTGTTTGCCAGGGGGCTTACAGTAAATCCTGCATCAGCTCCACCTCTTTGCCTGTTACTAGATCGTGCAAAAGTTAGGTTGAGATAGCATTTTCCAATATGGCGACCACCATCATGTCTTCAGAAACTAAATGGTGTTTTATTCAGGCCATAGTTAAAACATACAAAAGTTAAATGACTCTCCTCAAAGTGGCTGGAGAGAAAAAAAAGAAAACATTGTCGAATAAAAAGTAACGAATCATTGATAAATCATACAAATAGAATGCATTGGAATTTTTGTGCGTTTCTCCGAGTCAGCTTCTATAAACAAGTTTAAATTATATATAAAATAGAATAGCTTTATAAGAAAAAAAGAGTAGAAAAGTACAAATAAAATAATAAAAATAAAGTAAATTAAAATAAACTGTACAGAAGCTATACACTGTATTAAAGCAAATATATAATACAAAAAAAATAACAAAGGGGAACACTGTACAATGAAATGAAAATATAAATATGTTTTCTTGCAAATATTCTGCATGGTGAACAAAAGTACAGCTTTTCTACTACTGAGCTCACTCCCACTGAGGTTTCTTGTCCTTAAAGCCGATCAATGTCCCGTCCAATGGGAGGTCAAAATGTCTCATATTCACAGTGTGTGTTCATGTGAGTAGATAAGGGTGTAAATGTTTTGGGTGTAAATGTTTCAGGTGATCATGCTGAGCTCAGTCACTGAGCTGCACTCTTACATCGACCGCACACAACTGACCCACGAACTCGGGGGAACGCAGGAGTACTGTCATGACAAGTGGATCTCTCACCGCACAGTATGTACACTGCATTAGGGTTGTCATGATACTAGAACTTTAAACTTCATTATGAAGTGTGATATTAGTTCAAATCAAATGGTATCCATACCTGTTTTGATGTTTTCTGTTGTGTCCCCTGCACATCAGGCAATTGAGGGTTTTGCATTGATGGTGAAGAAAACAGCACAGACTCTGCAGCTGTTTGGGACTGAACTGGCTGAAACCGAACTCCCCAATGAAATCCAGGCCACGACCCTCCTTCTGAGCACGCACACAAGCAAGAAAAATAGAATGAAGGTAACACCATTTACATTAGATACATTATATATATGTTTACAGTATATGGTGTGTGTGGGAAAAAAAATAACTGAATCTGTGTGTAGGAGGATCTGCTGGTAGCCCAGGGTCAGGGCAGCAGGCTGCTGGAGAGCATCAATGAGCCTGTAGTCAGAGACCCGGACCACAACATGAACCAGGATGAGCTGGAGAACCTGGCCACAGTGCAAAGGTACAACAGCTGGAGCTGATAGAGCAACAAAAAAAACTAGACTGTGTCCAACTGTCTTGAGAAAAGAGAAATACTTTCAATGAAAAACATGTTAATAAATGTTCTAGATGTATGACACCTCAGGGTTTTTTCCCCTGAAGAGACTTAAATGATTCTTTACTCATAAACATCATCAACTGAAGATGATTATGTTTACAGTGTGATGTTACAGTGACACAATATTTGTGTAACACTGAAATAAAAAGGTGTCACATCTAGTGTCTTATTACTCATAAACTGACTCTAAAGCATGCCTGTCATTATGTAATATTTCAGTAAATTATTTTATCATCATTGAAACAATTTAGCAAGCAAATCCACAAAACTTTGAGATCGTCTAAGTGTTCATTTCTGGTTTCTTTTTTTCCACATCATATAAATTAAAATGAAAGATCTTCAGGGGAATAAAATACAATTCCATGAGTTTCTTTGGTAACACTTTATATTAAGGTGCTTGTAATAAGCATTAATAACAGGTAATAAGTCACTTATAAGACCTTATTAGATTCTTATTAACATAAATAAGACTGCATAAGTGTTAATATAGGCATAATTAACTCATTTATTATGTCTTATAAGACACTTATAGGTTCTTATTAGAAACTTATTAACACTTTATACACTGTCATAAAAATTAATAAGATGCTTAAGACTTTATTAGGTTCATATTAATGCCTTATAAAAATTTATACATACTTTATTATGCACTTATTAACAGTTAATAAAGCTCCTCTGCAGGTACTGTTTCTTTTTGACATGATAAGTGTGATGGGTACTTATCATCATCATTTTTGATATTATTGATTTATAGATCTTGACTACTTCTACATCATATGTAACATTGACAAACTTAGTATTCACACTGTAGATTTTTTCCAGCTTGACTGAAGAAGTAATTCTGCCATCTAAAGAAAAAAAGCATTTCAAAGTGTACCAATTCACTCTAATGAGTAACAGATAGAAACCAGTAGACTCTTGCTTTTGAGTCATGATGTTGTATGTTTTTTTCTTCAGGCCTGTCTCTTCTCTGCTATCATCATAATTGAAATAATAGTTTAATAGCTAGTTTGCTTTGAGGCCAGTCAGTGTGATATTTTAAGCAACACTGTGGGCTGTGATTTGCACGTCAACAAGCATTAGCTTTACATAACACGCACAGATGTAATCAGTGTAAAAATATCCAAATACTCTGCTCAGGATCCATGAATTTTCTATTATTTTCCAACTGCTTCTGGTCTCCTCAACTGCCCGTTTTGTTTCTCTCTCTCTCTCTCTCTCTCTCTCTCTCTCTCTCTCTCTCTCTCTCTCTCTCTCTCTCTCTTGTCAATCCTCTGTCAGGCTGCTGTCTCAGCTGGACGAGACGGAGCGAGCTTTCGACGAGTTCTGGGTGAGACATCAGACCAAACTGGAGCAGTGTCTCCAGCTGCGTCACTTTGAGCACAGCTACAGAGAGGTGAGCCTGAAGCCTGAAGTCCTCATGTTTCCACTTTTAAGAGTTCAGAAACTTAACTGTGGTATATTTCTGCTGCTGCAGGTGAGGGCTCTGCTGGATCAGGTGTCTGAGAAACTCGCAACCTTTTCTGAGGTGGGAATCAGCCCGGCTCACGCTGACCACATCTTCGGTGAACTCAACACTTATGAGGAGAGAGTGTGTGTAAGTAGAGGGTCCTATCACATTATTAAAAGCTTAGATTTTTTCACATGACTAGATGACTTTTGGCTTTTTAGTGACACCTAATGGAAGCTTTTGCAGGCTCACTCAGGGTCCACAAGTTCATATTTACATACATATTAGTTGCAATAGGACAGTTCATGCAATTTTCATGTGCAGGAACTATTGGAGGTAATGACTGTCTCTCCGCCTTGTTCCACAGGAGGTGCTGGACAGAGCCTTGTCTTTGGCTAGTGAGGGTGAAGAACTGATTAAGAACTCCCACTACGCTGAGGACTCCATCCAGCCCAAATGCAGCGAGCTCAGAGCGATCAGTGAGACGGTGAGCAGCTCCCTGCGGGCCAAGAAGGACCACCTCCTCAAAGCCATGGAGCTGCACCATCGTCTGGAAAGGGTGAGAAGACAAGTACAGCTACACACTCCTTCTCTTTGTTACCATGTTTGGAGATTTTGTTTTTTACAGTTTTTTTTTTCCTCCTCTGCTGTCTTCCTCAGGCTTCTAAATGGGTGGATGATGGCATTTACCTGCTGGCATCCCAGCCTGTGGACAAGTGTCAATCGCACGAGGGGGCGGAGTTAGCCCTGCAGGAGCTGGAGCGTACCTGGAGAAGGCAGAACAGAACCAACTGACGGAACTCAGCACCATCTGGGACGAATATGAAGCTGTGATCAATCAGCAGTTAAGGGTGAGACGACTGAAAAATATACATGTTGCATTTTAAGACATCTCTCTGACAGGTGGATTGTGAACAGACTATTAAAGATTATTTTTTGCAACTAGGTTTATACACATTTTTGGCACGTTTTCCCCCAATAATATGTTGAATATGTATCCCAAACAAGTTGTAAAGCCAAATATTCACCACACAATTGATACCAAAGGCATACCATGTTAAGTATAGAAACTACAAATATGGTCGCTGATGCTTTGGCTAACAAATATTACATAACATAGAGAAAACTTTTGGTATTGACCCTCCTCTGATAACCTTCTGTGTATCTATCTATTTTTTTCTACATTTTTAATTTGTGTTTTATTTTATTTTAATTGTATTGTACTGTGTTCACTTTTTGTTTGCAATCTTTGCTCTTTGCTGCTGTTACAATGTAAACTTCCCCGTTGTGGGATAAATAAAGGATGATCTTATCTTATCTTATCAGGACCAAGTGGAGAAGGTGTTCCAGAAGCAGGCGTCCATGCAGGAGATGTTTGACAAGAGAAGGATCAGCCTGAAGAAGCTCGCAGCCAAACAGACCAGACCGGTGCAGCCTGTAGCCCCCAGACCCGAAGCCTTCATCAAATCTCCTCTCAGCTCGCCCGGTTAGTCTGCACACAACACCACACCTGGAACTTTTCATCCAATGCAGAATATTTCAAAACATCTGCAGAAGATTTTATACTCTTCATATGTACAAGCCTAAAGCTACTCACAACATTTACATGTTTTTGATATACTCTTATACTCTTCTTTACACAGCCTTATATCCCTTGGTTAATAACTGAAGCATAGGAGTTTAGTAACTTAAAAAAATTAAGAAACGTCTTTATACTCATGAGCAATTCACTCATATATTACTTTAGGATCATGGCTGATATATAAAGAGAACGTGAAGCATTTATTAGGACAGTGATTCCTTCTGTTAATCTCTCTGAGAAAAACACAGACTTCTGAATTTCAATCAACAATACAGTAAGCAAAATTTCAAAAATGTATACCTCTGACAAAAAACAAAAAACAAATTATTAAGGGCTTAACCCCAAAAAGTGTGATTCTTTCCATTTTCTTCTGTGACATTGTTGAGCATTTAAAATAAAAAATAGATCTTAAAGCTAAGCGCTGCATCGGGGACGCCTGAGAGGCACGCTGTAGAAAAATGAGGATTGACTAAAGCGGGTGCGATGTAAATGGAGTGCACAGCGCAGGAAAAACATGGCAAACACGCATGCTGGGGAATCAAAGCGTTACTCTGTATTAATTCTGACTTTTTTCCTCATCCGTTTCCTCAGCACACAGAGCTCAGCTGGAGAAAAACGACTCAGAGATAGACTCCGGGAACAACTGTGAGAAAGTGAGCAAAGAACTGTCATGACTCTTGTTTGTTTGGACTTCCTTATACAGTATGTGACCAGTGCTTTCGGTCGCTTATCACACTGATGTGATGTTTTTTTGTTGTTTTTCTTCTCCAGGGAAGCGGCCCTCTGCAGAACGGAGACGGTAACAGCAGACATGCGTCTCTGTCAGAGGAGGAGGAGAATCTGGCCGTGCTCAGGAGGTGAGAGATCAGCTGCAGCTCTTCCTGTGTTATCGAATTACACTGAAGATGGACTGAGTAAAAACAGAATTATCTATAGAGCTTTTTTTGCATGCATCTTATTCGATCTCTCTATTCTCTCTTTGTCTGCAGGCACGTTATGAACGAGCTGCTGGAAACTGAGAGAGCGTACGTTGAGGAGCTGCTCTGTGTATTACAGGTGATTATTTACTCCACAAATAAGGTTTTATCTTATCTTTTTTTGTTACGATTACCCACAAGTTCCTGTATTTTCTTGTGTGTGTTTGCAGGGATATGCCTCTGAGATGGATAATCAGGCGATGGTTCACCTCATGCCTGCTCCCCTGCAGAACAAAAAGGAGGTTCTGTTTGGCAACATGCCAGAAATCTACCACTTCCACAAGAGGTGAAAGAGCGCCATCTGTCTGTCATTCAGGATATCAATGTTTTGGAAAATCAAATGTTGTTATTCACCCCAAAACTAACATTTGAATGAATACTCTTTTCTTTATTTCCTCTCATATTTCATAATGGAATTATTTTTCATGGTTTCAGAACTTTCCTGAGGGAGTTGGAGCAGTACACAGACTGCCCACAGCTGGTTGGACGGTGTTTTATTGAGAGGGTGAGTGATGTGCAAGATTTTCAACACAGGCGTGCATATAAATAATATATATATATATATATATATATATATATATATATATATATATATATTTATTTATTTATTTTTATGAAAATTGTTTTCACTGCCTCTTTATAGATGACAGACCTGCAGATCTATGAGAAGTACTGCCACAACAAGCCTCGCTCTGAAAGCCTTTGGAGGCAGTGTTCAGACTGTGCCTTCTTCCAGGTGAACACAACCTCAGCATGCTTCAAGTTTTTAAAGTGGATTTTCTTTACTTGTTTTTATTTAACCCAGTTTTTTTGTTTTTTTTCTAATCAGGAGTGTCAGAAAAAGCTGGAGCATAAACTGGGTTTAGACTCCTATCTGCTGAAGCCTGTTCAGAGGATTACCAAATATCAGCTGCTACTGAAGGTATGACATCATGTATGGACTGATAAATTGTCTTTTTTATGAGAATTTCTCTTATTCAGCTTTTTACTGTATTCTAACAGTAGCCATTTTCCTTGGACGTGACTTCATCTTGGGGAGCTTTAAGTCTGTTGTAATCTAGCAATTGTTAATTGTATAAATTAAGCCTTGTCATTAGAGCAATTAGGATAGGATAGTACTTTATTGAGCCCCAGGAAATTATCCTAAATGAGCGAAAAAAAAAAAAAAAAAACTATGAAAACTCCAGGTTTGCAGGGTTGTGTTGTCAATAAAAAAAATATTTTATTTTTGCATTGTAATTATGACAATGAAATGGATGTATGAATTACTACCTAATGAATTTATTGGATGATATACACCTGTAAAGGCTGTCAAAATAAATAAACAGTTGGTCAAAAAAAAAAAAAAAAAAAAAAAAACAATTGATGCATCTAAGCACTGTAACAACACGTTAGGATTAATTAAGTTATGAATTAAACCTCTTTTAACGTTAAATTACAAGTCGGCTAATTAGCTTATAGCCACTACGTAGCAGACAGGAATGTTATCTAGTCAGTAGCTTGTTGCTAACAGTAGCTCTGACTCACTATCTATTGAGTAGCTTGATGCTAACAGTAGCTCTGACTCACTATCTAGTCAGTAGCTTGATGCTAACAGTAGCTCTGACTCACTATCTATTGAGTAGCTTGTTGCTAACAGTAGCTCTGACTCACTATCTATTGAGTAGCTTGTTGCTAACAGTAGCTCTGACTCACTATCTATTGAGTAGCTTGTTGCTAACAGTAGCTCTGACTCACTATCTATTGAGTAGCTTGATGCTAACAGTAGCTCTGACTCACTATCTAGTCAGTAGCTTGTTGCTAACAGTAGCTCTGACTCATTATCTATTGAGTAGCTTGTTGCTAACAGTAGCTCTGACTCACTGTCTATTGAGTAGCTTGATGCTAACAGTAGCTCTGACTCACTATCTAGTCAGTAGCTTGTTGCTAACAGTAGCTCTGACTCACTGTCTATTGAGTAGCTTGATGCTAACAGTAGTTCTGACTCACTATCTATTGAGTAGCTTGTTGCTAACAGTAGCTCTGACTCACTATCTATTGAGTAGCTTGATACTAACAGTAGCTCTGACTCACTATCTATTGAGTAGCTTGATACTAACAGTAGCTCTGACTCGCTATCTATTGAGTAGCTTGTTGCTAACAGTAGTTCTGACTCCCTATCTAGCGAGTAGCTTGTTGCTAACAGTAGCTCTGACTCCCTATCTATTGAGTAGCTTGTTGCTAACAGTAGCTCTGACTCACTATCTATTGAGTAGCTTGTTGCTAACAGTAGCTCTGACTCACTATCTAGCGAGTAGCTTGTTGCTAACAGTAGCTCTGACTCACTGTCTATTGAGTAGCTTGATGCTAACAGTAGCTCTGACTCACTATCTAGTCAGTAGCTTGTTGCTAACAGTAGCTCTGACTCACTGTCTATTGAGTAGCTTGATGCTAACAGTAGTTCTGACTCACTATCTATTGAGTAGCTTGTTGCTAACAGTAGCTCTGACTCACTATCTATTGAGTAGCTTGTTGCTAACAGTAGCTCTGACTCACTATCTATTGAGTAGCTTGATGCTAACAGTAGCTCTGACTCACTATCTATTGAGTAGCTTGTTGCTAACAGTAGCTCTGACTCACTAGCTATTGAGTAGCTTGATGCTAACAGTAGCTCTGACTCACTATCTGGTCAGTAGCTTGATGCTAACAGTAGCTCTGACTCACTAGCTATTGAGTAGCTTGTTGCTAACAGTAGTTCTGACTCACTATCTCGTTAGTAGCTTGTTGCTAACAGTAGTTCTGACTCACTATCTAGTTAGTAGCTTGTTGCTAACAGTAGCTCTGACTCACTATTATTGAGTAGCTTGTTGCTAACAGTAGCCCTGACTCACTATCTATTGAGTAGCTTGTTGCTAACAGTAGCTCTGACTCACTATCTATTGAGTAGCTTGTTGCTAACAGTAGCTCTGACTCACTGTCTATTGAGTAGCTTGTTGCTAACAGTAGCTCTGACTCACTATCTATTGAGTAGCTTGATGCTAACAGTAGCTCTGACTCACTATCTATTGAGTAGCTTGTTGCTAACAGTAGCTCTGACTCACTAGCTATTGAGTAGCTTGATGCTAACAGTAGCTCTGACTCACTATCTGGTCAGTAGCTTGTTGCTAACAGTAGCTCTGACTCACTATCTATTGAATAGCTTGTTGCTAACAGTAGCTCTGACTCACTATCTATTGAGTAGCTTGTTGCTAACAGTAGTGACTCACTATCTATTGAGTAGCTTGTTGCTAACAGTAGTGACTCACTATCTATTGAGTAGCTTGATACTAACAGTAGCTCTGACTCGCTATCTATTGAGTAGCTTGTTGCTAACAGTAGTTCTGACTCACTATCTAGTTAGTAGCTTGTTGCTAACAGTAGCTCTGACTCACTATCTCGTTAGTAGCTTGTTGCTAACAGTAGTTCTGACTCACTATTTATTGAGTAGCTTGTTGCTAACAGTAGCTCTGACTCACTATCTAGCGAGTAGCTTGTTGCTAACAGTAGCTCTGACTCACTATCTAGCGAGTAGCTTATTATTAACCAAACATGTCGATTTACCCTGAACATGATGTGCCTCCAGATTTTCACTTTTTTGTCTTTTCTGTGGCTTATCAAACTGGAGGTGATGAATTTGTTACACTCGAGTTTGAGTCCTCTTTTCCTTGTCCATTTATGTAGTCATTGTTTGGGGATTTTCTATTCATGTTGTAGTCCTATGTATATCTCCAGCGACAAACCCGTCACCCTGTGGGGACATGAAAGATACCTTTGACCTTTGAGACACAGCAGTAAGAGATTATCAGAGACAGTATGTGAGCATCTCACCCTTAGCATCACTTAGCAATTGCTCTGAGCTGATTAACTGAGTTTCTGTCGACAGGAAATGCTGAAGTACAGTAAGAGCTGTGAGGGGCTGATGACCTGCAGGAGGCGCTCACCTCCATCTTAGGCATCCTTAAGGCTGTTAATGACTCAATGCATCTCATCGCCATCACAGGATACGAGGTGAGACATTTAACTGGAATCAGGGAATTGCAGAAATGATATTGTTTATAGGCTAATGAGGTAAAAATGAAAGACAGACTCAAGCTTTACTCGAGACAGACTCCTTATATTTATGAGAATTAACATTTTCATTTAGAGCAGCTGTTTCCATAAATATGTATGTGGTGACATTATTTAGATCCAGGAAATCTGGATTAACAAAAGACCAGACAAATAACAGAAACATTAAATGTAACAGTTATTGGGTAATAAAAAACATAAATTTATAGCCTCCATAAAGTTTATTTGATTATGTGAAGTATGTGATCGGTCAGCTCTGCTCTCTCTCTCCTCAGGGGAACATGAGTGAGCTGGGTAAGCTGCTAATGCAGGGGTCATTTAGCGTGTGGACGGAGCACAAGAAAGGTCACGCCAAGGTGAAGGATCTGGCCCGTTTCAAACCCATGCAGAGGCACATCTTCCTCCACGAGAAGGCCCTGATCTTCTGCAAGAGGAGGGAGGAGAACGGCGAGGGCTACGAGAAAGCTCCATCATACAGCTTCAAGCAGTCTCTGAGTGTGAGCACCTCTGATGCGGCAATGTCGACGATTTCTCTGCATTTGTCTCTCTCACACCGCTTTAACATCCGTACCCTGCTTTCCATTTGAACAGATGAGTGCCGTCGGCATTACTGAGAATGCAAAGGGAGACCACAAGAAGTTTGAAATCTGGTGCAACTCCAGAGAAGAGGTGTATATAGTTCAGGTATGTTATTACTTAAAACAATAATAGTTTGTTTTCCAACTGTCAACAAATGTCATGAAGCATGATTTCATCAGACGAATCGGTGTCCTCCCTGCAGTCAACGCATGTTCCCTTTTGTTCTATTCAGAGTTCCAGTCAAAACACTATCTTTTCTACACACACACACATTACTTCTTTGTTGTAATGTCCTCATCGTTTTTGTTTTGTTTTATTGTTTTATGTTTTTGTCAAAGCGTCTTTGAGTTTTCAGAAAAGCGCTATATGAAACCTCTGTATTATTATTATTACTTTTCATGGAAAGCAGATTTAAACTGATGGTACTCTCTGAATTATAATATACTAAGATAAGATCCAAAGATTCCCACCATGAGGAAGCAACAGTGGCCAAGAGAAGAACGATCTTTCTAACAGACAGAAACCTCAAGAAGATACACACTTAAATTTGGAAATGATCGTTACTGCCTTAATAATATGAATCTAAATTATTAATTTAAAAAGAAAAGTCACAGTTGTTTAGTAATGTCTGGGTCAAGCCAACTCCACCAAGAAAATGCTAACTGAGTGTCATGAGTTTGCAATTCTGTCTGATTTCAGTCCCTTCAGAACACGGCAACACTTATTAAAGAAACAGTGGTGTTTTTAAAAACCCTTTTGTATGTTGTGTTATGCAGGCGTACTGCCTTTTTAATGCAGCAGGTTTTAGAACCTCTAACACAGTGATTCTCAAAGTGGGGTCCGCAAACCATAGCTTGGGGGTCCCCAGAATATTTGTGAATTGTTTGACACAAGAATATGAGTAATGTAAATATTTAAATTGAAATCTTCTTTGATAAGGCTTACTGTGTGTTTTGAAACACTGTTTAATAAACTCTGTGGTTTGTTCAGAGCTTCCTGCCAATGATTTGAATAAGGAGCAAATAATTCATCTTTAAAGTTAAATCACTTACTGAAAGTCAGTTTTAGAATACATGACAACATTTCTGGATTAAAATGAAGACTATGTCAATCTTGTGGAGTTCATTTTCTCAAAGTTTATAAAATGAATTACTTGGAAAGTATAAATGTAGCCTAATTCTATCATTGCAAAGTACGGCTACTACATAGTACATTAATACATAGTATTAATATATTCTTACATATATTCTTATTGCTCTAACACACCTAACTAAATGAGATGACACATTCTGTACCTAAAGCCTGTTGTATAACTTTCACATTCCCATTTTAAGGAAATATGTCGTATAAACCTCAAACTTGAGCTAATTGATGCAGATGTTTTGGAATCCAACATCCCTCATGAACACATTCCTGTGGGTATTTGAGAAATAAACATATCCTTTGGAAAACAACAAAAAAAAACATTTTGTTTTTGACTATTTGAATAACTTTCCAAAGCACGACGTCGTTCATTTGAGATATTATTACTGGAGGTCATCTTTTCATTTTTTTTTACTATACATACAGAATAACAGGTCTGTTAAGTCGGATTTCATGTATTTGCAAAAAATCTACATCTTGGTGGCAGTGGATGATTCAGTTTACAAACACCCTTTTACCATCTGTTTAACTGTTCTCTTTTAGGCGCCATCGGCTGAGGTCAAAACCACCTGGGTGAATGAGATCAGGAAAGTTCTGACAACTCAGTTGGAAGCATGCAGAGGTACAGAGACTCTCAAACCTATTTCTCTTTCTAGTATGTTCATGTTTCACCAGAAAATTCAACAAAAAAAAAAAAAAACTCCTGCTAAAGTGTATGTTCTCCCTCTCTGCGCTACAAAAGCCAGCCAGCAGAGGGCGCCAGACCAGGTTTTCCAATTCCCCCCTGTGCCCAGTGGAACAGTAAGTCTCAGGTAAGACTGTTTACCCCTTCCTGGATTCTTCATATTGACAATTCTATTGACAACATGTGTTTCTGAGTATTGTAATTAATTATTTTAAACACGGTTTGAGTCTTCTAATGTCTGACTTTTGTCCATCTCCAGTCCCTTTAAGACTGGTCAGAAGAGCTTTAAAAAGGGAGACGATAAGAAAGCTGAGCCCTGCAGCCCTGATGCTAACTCCTCTTCTTCACCAAAGCCCGCAGGAAAAGGTGAGGAGAGAGATGGAGAGACATTTAATTTGTATTAAATAACCTCTAATTGTTAGCCATGTCTTAACTTCAGTTTTTTCCACTGAATCATGTCACTTCCTCTCTTCCCCCTCTTGTTACTTAACTTTATTCCTCCCTTCCTTCTTCTTGTTTGTCCCTTCTTCTTGCTTTCCCTCGGTGTCAGACGAGGCTGTGACAAGCCCTACCTCAGACAGAGCTGCTGTGGCTAAAAAGCGCTTTACTTTACAGGGCTTCAGTAACCTCAAAGCTCAGAAAGGTAACAGCGGGCTATTGTCAGTTTCATATATTGTTGTCAACACATCACGTCATCTCCTGCAAAGAAAAAGTGAACTTCCAAAAAGTCAAAGAGTCACTTACAGTAGAGACATTATTTAAAGTATACTTGTTTTTTTCCTTCTGAGAGTTAGATGAGCAGTCACTGATATCTCATCCAAACCCACAATTTGATGTTTGTTACACTTTGTACGGATTAAAGAAATAAGATATATTAAACCTATTAGCCAGTGAGCTTAAATTATGGATTATCTTTTTTACTTTTGATTCTCATGCTAAGCTAAACTAAGATAACTGCCCTTTGTATCTACCTAAATGTAAATGAAGGCTTGTGGGCATATTCCCCAAATTTTGAAAGATCTGTTGTCTTCTAAAAAACCAAAATAATAGATATGTATATGATAATTATGGAGCCTTTTGGTCAATAGGTCAAACCTTCCATGCTTCCCTCCACAGAGCCCACAGCTACCGATGATAAAAGCTTTACGTTACCCATGACGATCCTCTTTTCAGCAGGTATCTCACAGCTCTTAGACCCCGGCTTTAATTCAATCCAGCTTCCCCCCCCCCCCCCTCAGCTTTGATAGGCCATGAGAGTGTGGTGATGAGTCAGCATTGAGGGGAAAACAGGACCCTGTAATGAAGACTGCAAAAATGCTGCCACGGTTCTGTGTCAGATTTGAACCTTTCTTTGCTTTTCCTGCTGTGACTTATCAAAAAAAGTATTTTACGGTAGCATCTTCAATCCCCCCCCAAAAAAAGCAGCTTTTAGTTTAAACTCCCTTATTAGAATATGTTTTTCCCCCTTTGTGTTGGATGTCTTTCCATAACCGTTCTGATCCAGCTGTTTGTGCGTGTGTGTCAGTTCAGTCTTGAGTGGAAAAATCTGCTCACTATTTCACTTTTTGTCCTTTGAATGTATTTACCTGCCTCACTGTATATCCTTGTTTTCCTTTTCCACCAGGATCCCCCACAAGTCCCGATCACAAGACGAAACGGCAGAGCGACCCCACCCCATTCGGCTTCAAAGGTATACTCTCATGTGCTCATCAAATACCTGCATACTCTCCCTGCTTGGTCCGTTTTTTTTGTCCTCGAGCACAGCCTCAGTCTCTGATAACAACAAGAGTTTTTATTGGCTGTAGCTGCTGCAGGGAGAGTGACTAGCTGTGTGTTTTTTTTTTTTATTGCCTTTCCTTCAGATCCAGGTCCTCCCCCGCTCCCCCTGAGCAGGGCCAGGTGGTTCAGCACCTCTAGTCTCTTACAGACAAAGTGGAGAGGTACACCAACACACAGAAGGGCTCGCGCTGGCTGTGTGTTCGGCCCTATTTACCCTCTATAAACACGTCGGCCTTTATCAGCTGTTGCTTTGCCACCACCTCACGTCTCCCTCACAGGCCTAGTGAAATGATAGAACTACACACTGATGAGGAGAGCATCTGCCTGCCACTTTTTCCTTTAAAATTAAATCAGGGGTAGTTAGAACATGGAGATGCATGCTGGTCTCTGTAGTCTTTATGATATTAAATAGTTTTGACATGCTGGGCTTCTTGGGAATAGCTGATTTTTTTCCCTCTTTGTTCAAAAGAGCCTTTTTGTGGTTTCACTCTTTCACACTCTCTCTCTCTCTCTCTCTCACTGCAAGTCACGCACGTTGGACAGCAGCTTAAGCCAAAATGTTTTTGTTAATATACTCCTGTGTGTGTGTCTCCCTCTTCCCCATCAGGCTGGAACAAAACCTCCCTGTCTCTGGATGCCTCAGAGGAGCACGACGGCTACTCCAGTGCTGACGATCCTCTGAACTCTGACCCAGAGGAGGACTGCGGAAAGAAGCTGGTGAGTCACCGCTTTGACAAACATGTTGTCTGCTTATCTACACCGTTTGTTTTACAGGTTTCAGACCCCCAAAGTAAGAATCACCTGGCTCCTTTTTTTAAAAACTTTTAGCAGTAACGGAGCAACACTACGACTAGTTTTCAACTTTGTCGGTCTTTTATGTCGTTCCTGGCAGAAAGCGAATCAAGGGTTAACTGGAATGTTTCATTTTTAAAGAATAAAAAATCAAATCCACCAGTTTGGCTGGAAAGGATGATGATATAGGGAACGGAAAAAAATAAAACCAAAACAATGAGCTCAAAGTAACTAAAACTGTATTTAAATGAGATGTGCAGAGTTTGTTTTGACCCTTAGCCCCTTTCACATTTACAATTTATAAAAATTTTTTGTGACATTTTGATAAATGTGGCTGTAAAGTTGATGCATATTAATTGAAACTTAATTCGCAGCTGACACGGTGCTTTTTTTCTAACTTTTGTAAGCCTTATTCTCTCTTCCCCGACTCAACTTTGAACAGTGCGCTGGCAAATATACGGTGATGGCTGACTACGAGATAGACGGTGCTGAAGATTTCTCAGTGAAGAGCGGAGACATGGTGCAGCTCGTCAAGGAGGGAGATGACCAGCAGTGGTGAGAATATTTTATTTCTAATACAACTCAGGAAAATAAAATAAAAATGACAAATTGGTATGATGTCACTTCTATCATATTAAGTGTGTGTGTGTGTGTGTGTGTGTGTGTGTGTGTGTGTGTGTGTGTGTGTGTGTGTCCTTCAGGTTTGTACGTAACCTGAGCTCTTCTAAGGAGGGCTGGATTGCAGCTGCAAATCTTATCACACTTATTGGAAAGTCCAAGTCTTGCCAGTCTCTCACCAGCTCAGGTACTTTCATAACAGAAACACTTTTCCTGTTTTCATACATTGTCAAGTCAAGTCCCATTTATTTACAAAGCACATTTAAAAACAGCAGCAGCTGACCAAAGTGCATCAAAGAAACAGTTCACAGGGGATTACAACATGTACAAAAAAACACAAAATAAAATACGATAGAATATATATAGGAGAGATAATGAAAGCAATAACTGGAATCTGAAAGAGCCGTCTATTCAGGACCAGAGGACTCAAATGCTAAAATATAAAAATATGTCTTTAGGAGGGACTTAAAAGAGTCAGTAGAGGATGCAGACCTGATGGGAAGAGGGAGGCTGTTCCACAGTTTTGGAGCTTTTTACTGAAAAAGCACGATCTCCTTTTAGCTTGAGTCGTGAGCGGGGGACAGCCAGGAGGCCCATTAGCCGACGATCTCAGCGGCCTAGATGAGGAGGTCAGTGATGTATAGGGGGGCCAGGCCATTCAGGGCTTTAAAAACAAACAAAGCAATCTTAAAATAGATTCTGAATCGTAATGGGAGCCAGCAGAGGGACGCTAAGACAGGACTGATGTGCTCCCTCTTCTTGATCCAGTCAGCAGCATTTTGGAGTTGTGGGCACTATTATGACACGTTTGTGTGGGGACTTTGAACGATACATTTACTTTCCAGACCTGACAAAATCTTCAATAATACATGTTTGTTTCTTACAGAAGGCAGTGGCTCGGGAAATCTCAGCACGTCGTCCAGCTGCAGCGAGACATACACCAGCTTCTCTGACATCAAACCCTAAACTTCTCAGCACCTCCATCACCAAACTGCTCTCATGGTACAGCTTAAATCATGTGGCTGCTGCCTGTGCTCTGTTTCCAACATTCATACCCACAAGAAATCTTCACAGAAAATCTGAATTCTTTTTTTAATTTTTTTTTTTATATTATGCACATGCACCAGTCATTAAGATAATATGCCAAACATGTGCTCACTTGAAGGCGAAGATGCTGAACAGAAAAAATGTACAGGACAGACAATAATTTCACCGTTTAGTACGATCATTGATCTTTGTTTATAGTCACACACTTCGTCTGTATATATTTTTTAAATAAAAGACGAGAATCACTGTAATTATATCGGAATAGATGTATGAATGGGCCAGCAGGACTGATCTCAGTTAATGCATCTGTCTGTGTTAACTTTAAAAATTGGACAAAGTGTGGTGATCATCCTTTCTGTTTGTCTGCACAGATCATTTCACTGTTACTGTACGCAAAGAAAAAAGGGAAATGTTAAATACGCACAGCTTGGTTAGCCTAAGTGAATGTTTTCCTGAGAGTCGATTAACTCTCCCTACGTGTGTTTATTTATTTGCAAGAAACGTTTCAGTTTGTCTCGTCTCTTTTGTTACCGTCTTCTTGACTCTCTTCCTGTATGACATGTCTGTTTGTTGCATAAACTGTAATAGACATACCTTTGTTGTCATCCTGTCATTGGAGACCTGTTCTGCCACCAGCTGCCCAGACCTGTGTACGAGCTTCTGTGTGGTGTCATTCTGTGGGTTTCATGTAGGCTACAGCTACAGTTGAAAAATGTTTCTCAATGTGAAAATTCACTGTATAGTGCTAACTTATTCCCATGGTGGGATCACCTTATGAATGTAGATATTGTTCATTAATATCCGTCTGTCATGAAATGTATGTTATTTGAGATGCTATATTGTATAATAAGTATGGTGATGTCACTGATGACGTGACTTGTCTAATTTTTTTACATAAACAACTTGTGATAACTCAAACTGTCTTTTCTCTTGTGTGCCACTCAATGAAGGCTAAATACTGATTGCACAATCAAATGCTTTTATAATGCATTGTTGGTCTTTGTTTCTAAAAAGTTACATTTTTAAAACCAAAAAGTTACATGTTTTGCATTTTTTGTTTACATCTTGTACACAAGTGAGTGTGGATGTAAAGCTCAAATGAAGATCAGGCAATAATAGCTCTTACTTACTCGTCATTGGAACCAGAAATGAAAGTGAAACTGGACAACTGCGTTGCCAGACTTGTCGAAACCAAGCATTTAAATAATACTACACAAAAACTGTACAGTATAAATTAATGAAAAGGACCAATTGACACTATATCAGGAGTTTGGGGCTTTCAGTGGGCGGATATCCAAATTTCTACAACCAGAAAAACTGTTTATAAAACAGATAGAGAATGCTTTGATAGTGGAGAAATAATCACTCGACTTATAAATGATGTTTGTTAGAATTAAATTCACATGAAACATTTAAGAATAAAAACCGGAACTTAAGATGCACATTTGCTCTATCACAAAAAATACAAACGGTTATGTGTTTAATATCATAATAAAATCAAACAATAATCAAAGAAATTAAAAACTTACTAACTTAAAAAAGGATTAAGAACCAATCAAGGAAGGACTCATATTTTTAACATAAAGAACAAAGATGTATTATGATCATCATCCTACATCTTCAACTGATCATGCCCACAGTATTATTTACTAAAATATTTTAGTGTCTTAATGACTTACAGAAGAATTGCATTTAAAAAAAACAGTAGAGCCTACTTTATTAAAATGTTACTTTTGAAGGTAGATTAATATATTTTGTTTGACTAAAGTAGTTTACTGCATCAAAAGAAAGTCCATCAGAACCAAAGACTGTAAATATTACAGATTAAGTCTCAAAAGATGATATTAGGAATGAAGAGATTTTGAAAGTGCAAAGGGGGGATACGTCGGATAGAACCTGGCAACCCTAAGCTAAACAAATGGGCGGCTATTTCCGTTGCCTTAAGGTGAGTAAAGTCTATCGTCTCCGCGTTATATCGTGATGTTAATGTGTTTAATGGAGCCGTAAACCTGATAAAACACAAGTAGGTTAATATATTTATTTCAAAAGTTATCCTCCCGTGTTTTGGTAGAAATGGCCAACGGTGGCAGAGTTTGCTGCATACTCTGCGGACGGTCCGAAGAGACGAAGGTAACCGGACCTTTATCCACTAAATGTGAAGTCACGGCTCATCAAAACTGTCTGGTAAATATTGAAATGGTTAACTTTCACATTCCTGCTGTTAGCTTTTTCTAATGTGCTAAATGTTAGTAAGTATATTGGGGTCCACATCACGGGTTCTTACAGTACTTGTGGGGAAACCCTGTAGAGGTTAAAGGTGAGCACGACGAGAAACTTGTTTTTCAACTATCAACATTTATGAAATGAAACTGAAAAATAAAAAGAGAGAAAATAAATTCGTTTTCTGGTCAAAACCTCCTTTAAAAATATGGAGTTGTTTGTGTGGTTTTTTAATACTAAGGGAATATTGCAAAAAAAAAAAAAAATCTGGGAATTAATTTATAACCAAAAAATGTCTTCACAAATGTGATCATAAAGGTGTCTTAAAACATGTATAACATCTTTTAATTACAACTCCAGTAGGCCTACCTGAGTACCTTATTGGTGTAAAATTTAATATGTCAACATCTTCCTTTGGTAGTTTGTAAGGGGTCAAACTAGAGGTTATTTGTTTGTAAGGGGTCAAACTAGAGGTTATTTGGGGTTCTGAATCCATTGCAAGTCAAGTCAACTTTATTTATACAGCACATTTATAACAGCCGAGGCGGACCAAAGTGCTGTACAGTAAATTAGGCAAAATACATTACATCCAAAACATCATAAAGACACGTAAAAGCAAAAATTAAAAGTAAATTAAAACACAAAACAATAGTAAAAGTTCCAGGAGATTGCAAGCATTTGTTCATGGTTATGAGCTGCTTCATTCATTGTATCTCAGCATGCAAGGCTCCCAAACAAACCTCAGTATGACCCCTTAAAAGCTACAGGTTTTCCTACAGGAGTTAGATTGAAATCTTTTTTATAGGTGTTAGAAAACACCTTTATGAACACATTTGTGAAGATATTTCTTGGTCAAATATCTGATAAAATTCGGGCTTTTAATCGTCTTTAGTTGTGTTGTTTCTGTTTTACAGCTTTTTGCCTCAGGAATTTATTGCCAGGAGTCGCCACTACATGACGACCTGTTCGGTTTCTTCGTGCATGATGTGATGGACGAGGTGAAACGAGGAAAAAAACTGGTAAAAAAAAAAAAGTTCACATTTTGTTTATGAATTGGCTTTTTTTTAGATCATTTGTGTCATTCATTTGTTTTTAAACTGCAGAAATGTCACCATTGTAAGCGTAGTGGTGCCACCGCTGGATGTGGAAACTCCCGTTGTAAGAAGTCCTACCACTACCCGTGTGCTGTCGAGGAAGGAGTCCGGACGGATGAGGATATAAAGAATGGGAAATATGAGTCAGTACTTGTTTGTATATGAATGTTTAATAGTATTTATTTGAGTTGTTTTTAATGGTATTTTGGGTGGATTGTAAAACTGACTTTGTTTTACCTTCATGACTCAGGTTGTACTGCCCAAACACAGTGAATCGCAAAGTAAGTGGAGATCTCTTTATGTCTGTAAACACTTTTTTAATCTATGCCATACTCTGAGTTGTTTTTTCTTTTTCACTTGCAGACAACAACGCTTCTATAAAAGGACAAACAAAGCCCAAAACCCCCCAAAGTCCCAGTGAAGCAGGACCATCGAAGGTTTGGAGACAAAAAAAATCTACTACCAAGATTTAAAGAAAGAATATGTGATTTTTCACCTTAAATATAATAAATTAAGTATATCCTCTGAAAATAACTCTGTGAGTCATGACTGTCTACAGTGGGTGTAACACCCGAGTCCCACTGTCTGTGATGTTTTCAGAGTTTTCAGAGTCCTATCTTCACTTTGTTTACATCGCCCGGACGGCCGGCTGACTCCTCCCCTCGTGTATAAAAGTTGTTTAATTGAGGGACTAGAGAAAAGAAGAATAACATACTGTACTCACTGCTTAACTGTGTTTCTAGATCACGCTCATTTCAGGTAAATTTACATGCAGTGTGAAGATACCAGCATAATAAAGATCGCTAGCATTAGCATGCTAACACAACAATGCAGCGCGAGTTGTTTTGGTTTCATGCTGGTGCTCAAGGGCGACATCTGCTGGATCAAAAAAAAATGGCATATTCTTCCTTTAAAGCACATTACACTGCAAAGCTGTTTTGTAAAAGGGCGGGCGGTGAAGACTTCAGAGAATGCGACTCAAGCAGGAGGATGTTTGTCAGGATAAACACTAAATATTTGCCTCAGCAGCAGGACTAATTTGTGTACGTCCAAACATTTAAAGTGGAAATGAATGCTGAAGTGCTGAGAAACTCCAAAGAGACCACAGTCTGTTTATGAAATAACAGTATCCATGTTTTATTGTCATGAGGTGTTATGCCTCACTTGTGAGAAAAAAGAAGGAAACATCAGCTTGGAAAGTTGCTTTGATGGATTTGTAATGTAAGTACCTTCTCAGATTTTGTCTTTAAAATTCCATGATTAAATACTTCTCTGTTTTCTGATCTGCATTTGAACAACCAGGCATGTGTGTGGGGTTTTTTTTTTAGGTTGTATTGTGCCGAACACGCTCCTGCATCACTCAAGAGGAACACCAACGGTAAGTCCTGCTCAGAGGGAATGTGTCTCATGACCAGTTTGTTTTGTTTATTATTTTTTTACATATTCAAAGTCTTTTCTCCTCGACAGGAGATTCTTCAGGAGCCGGGCCGTCTAGGTGCAGCAGCAGTGACTCCACATCATCCGGCTGCTCACGTTTATCCTCCAAGGTGCACAGGCAGTGACTTTCAGCCCCGTTAAATAAATGTTTTTAAAACGGTTCTATTTCTTAATCAGAAAGACTCGGTGATTTCTAATCCTGCTTCTTCTTTTTTAAACAGAGACGGATCAGTTCAGATGAAGAGTAAGTGTTTGATCATCTGCATGCTGCCTCCATGAAAAAATATATTCAAGTGATTATAGTTTAAATGCCTGATCCCTCTCGTTTGTCGCAGTGAGGGAATGAGCCCCTCTAAACGTAAATCTAATATCAGTGTGAGGAGGATATCAGAGGATTCCTCAAATTCAGGTAAACTCAACTTTTAATACATGAGAGAATTTCCACATGTGTAGACTTCTATGAACGTACACAATGTTTTTGATTTCCCTTCTACAGATGAGAATACACCTGGTTCAGAGTGGGCCCCTTTAGAGTTTGATATAAACGGAAGTGTATACTCTGTTCACGACTCTGAGGTAAGTCTGATCTGTGATTCATCTTCAGTAACACGTGACTGTTAGAGACCTGAGGATTAATAATCTGGCTGTTTGTTTTCCTCCCCTTCCTTTAGCCTCCTGCTGAGCCTCAGCTGATCAGGTGAGATCATCCTCTGTGATTAAAATAAATAAATAAACATGTGAAATGAGTGATAAGTGTTTATTTGTTGTTGTAAATATAAACGAGAGCTTTACTCTTGTTGTGTCAAATTCGGATCACCCTAGACTCAGACCTGGCCAGGTGTTACCTCTAATTGTCTTCAAAATGGAATTAAAAATCTTCAAGTTTGCAGAGCATCTTCGAAATCATGAATCAGGAAACCAAAAAAATCTGAGAGCAAATATAAGGCTTCATTCATCCGTACAGAAAATCAAAGCCTGAGACTTTCAGCTGCACAATGTATACTTATTTTGCTGACGGCGCCCTTTTTACCGTCTCATTAGTCCTTGTTGATAACTTCAGGGTTTCAAGTTTCTAATGGTATCCGCCTCCTCCGTCATTAGAGTCTCTGATTTCATGAAATACGGGGCTTCATATCTCTATCTGTGTCCCACACATTGCCACATAACATTTTCAGAAGTTAGCTGTCAAAACAAAAAAAAAAAACCTACTGCAGTGTCATCTTCTTGATAAACGGGGTGAATATCTGGCCAACCATCTTGTGACCGGGTCATCGGCACACCAACGTTACGCCTGTCTGTCAGGTTTTCTTGGTCCCTTTTCTTGTATTTGTCCCTCCTTCACCTCGTAAATGGCAGGTCGGCCTAAGATTTATTACTTAATTACCCCCAGAAGTGAGCTCGTATGAAACTTGAGAACTCACTTTTAGACCATGCAAAACCTCAACGGATTCAAGTTTCATCATTTTGCATTAAGGGCTCACCTAAAACTCGACTTCTTTTCACTCTATCCTTGATGGATTTCACTTTGTAGGCTCAGTTTGAATTCATGTGCCTTTGTGCATTTCATCCTTAGTTGATTATGTTGTGTTTATAATATGCAACCCTCACACTATTGTTATTTATTTATCTAATTTGCATAATATGTGTCTATTAGTTCATTATGATACTGAAATACTATTATGATTATTCATGACCCCTCTATATAAATTTGATTATAAGGACTATGAATACATGCCTACAGGTGTGACACTGCACTCTATATTACACAAAACAAGAAGTATAAGATGTTCTCATTGGCTCCTTAGAGCCCCTAAAATCCCCTGAAATCATTGACACTTCATAGACTTATCTACTGATCAAAACTTTTAGTAATAACTATCATTATGATAAGAAAGAGAGTTATATACTGTTGAGAAACAAGTAGATGTTAATGTTGTGTTTTCTACTTTTCCTAAATGAGTCTGGTCTAAAGACACCTCAAATCATTAACTGTTAATATATGTGGCATTTATTTGGAATGTGTAGATAAATGTATTTGTATGTTTCAACATGTATATCATATGTATGTGTACATGTTAATGCAACACTAAAGTTATTATCACCTCTCCGACACCAAGTCAAAAAATCTATTTTAGTGTTTTTGATCTGAGAGCAGTGAGATGGGTGAAGAGAAGGTTTATTTTTTTCATGTTCTTCTCTTCTAGAAAAGACACTGAGAGCCACACAGGGTCCATCTCAGGTAGGCTGTCACAGCAGATTGAATGTTTACAGAGAAGAAGAAGACAGAATGAGATGGTTTGTAAACTCCTGCTGTGTCACACAGGACATCAACCGGAGGACGAGAGCAGTAATGAAGCTGATGAAACTTTAATTCCCTCAGTGAGTTTTGTTTTTAACATTTTTTTTTTTATTACTGTCAAAAAATGTGTCTGAGCATGACACTCATCTTTTTAACTAACCCATGTGTATCACGTCACCTTCCATTTGTTTAGATAGATAGATTAATAGATAGGAACTTTATTAATCCCTCAGGAAATTCAGATTCAGTTTACTTGTATATGATGGATATCAAAATGTACTTTGAATGACTTTAAGCCTCAGTGAATTTGAATATATGGCCTCACTAAATAAACAGATAATAGACTTCTCTCTCTGATACTAAATCATCTGACCTGAACTGTGTGTTTGCGTCCTCTCAGGATGCCGAGTCCGAGAGTTTACTGCTTCCTGTGACGGTCTGCGTGGATTCTCCGTCGCTTCCAGTCACGACTTCTGATTTCTCGGTACAGACAGAAGTGAGAGTGGAAGAAATAATGATAATAAAGAGAGAAAAAGGTAACGTTATCAGAGTCACTGTGCTAGAACTGAACATTGTCAACAATCAAATTGGCTGCATTCATTCCCCCTGCTGAGGAAGTTTGTTTTCCTTTGCTTTGACTGAAAAGTTGTTTTTAAAATGCAAAATAATGGAATTTTAAACATGCAATTAATAATGTGATTATTGCGATTAACTATTGAAATTCCGCGATAAATTGAAATAAAAAAATGTAGTTGCTTGACAGCCCTGTTGTTGAGCGTCTTTGCTCGAGAGCTGTCATATAAATAAAGTTATTACTTTAACTATTGTTGTCATTACAATCATCTTTTCTTTTGTCAGGCTCCAGTCCCGAGCCGAGTCCTGTCCCCAGTCCTGATCCACAACCCGCTGAGCCCTCTGTCCCAGAGCAGAGCTCCACTGCGCCCTCTCCCTCCCCCGATCGCTCCGAGCCCGGCGGTGGTGTTAGCTCACCTCTGTGCACCAAGACGCCCTTCACTGCAGCTCCACTTGAACCCATCAGCATTACCATCCATTCCTCCCCTCCCCTTCCTGCAGCACTCCTCCCCTCCGTCTCCCCAGAGCCCAGCATCGACCCCACCAGCTTCTGGAAAAGCTGCAACGCTACAGGATGCACTCAAGCTATCTTCACTGATTTCATGAATGAGATGAATCTTATCTCTGGCAGAATTCAGTCCGACCAGGCCAGCCAGGAGGGTGAGGGAGGATTAGAATAAACAAAACAAAACAAGCTTCTGTCCCCCCTGCTTTGTGAAGTAGACACTGGGGTATAAAGCTCTCTCTGTCTTCCTTCCACAGATTATGATCAAGCTCTGAAAGTGATGGAGGCTTCTGGGAAACTTGTAGAGCTCGTGACCAAGCAGCAGAAAGGTGAAGTTTGAACAGCAGAAAATGTGACTGTGCTCATTTTTGACATAAACTGATAAACTGAGCGAGTGTAACAAATGTAGCTCTGAGTATGAGATGTCTTACACTCCAAAACTAACTATCATGCTTAGGTTTCGTCGATTTTCTGGTTATTTATTTGAATCTTTATCACTTAAGTTCTGTAAGTGTGACTGTAGAGTTTTAAGGGGGATGAAAACTGAGGAAAACAGCCTCTCTTTAGTCTCCCAAACTCTAGTGACTTGAGATGGTTAGTTGATGTTGAAGGAAGAATGTGCGACTTTTTGAGCCAGTAGATGTCGCCCTTGAGCAAAAGCATGAAACCAAAACAAACTGGCTCTTTGACCCCTCTCCCCTCACGTTAATATGAAGGAGTTGTGAATTAGAACGCACCGTTAAGCACAAGCTGCGGCTGAGAGAGACATTTACAGAGGATACACTGGATTTCTGCTGTATTTATGTGTACAATTTTGCACATTCTTCCTTTAACTAAAGTTATTACCACAGAATAACAGAATGTTTATCTGTCAGGCAAATGTTTCTTTCAAAACGTTTTTTTAAGTCAATAATGAACTTTGCAGATTTTCACTGTCAATCTAATCCTGATGTTATCTAAAGGGAAATAAATGTGTTTTACAGAATTAGAAAGAAAACAAGGGGAGCTGGAGAAGGCAGCAGCAGCCATGACGGAGGTCATCTCTCTACTGAAGAGATGAGTCCGTCAGCAGCCACAAAGACCTTCTCGTCTGTCCGGTTGGTTTAGTTATATATTTCTCTTGGGGACCTTTTTTTTATACAAACCGTATTATTGTTCTTTGTGATCTTGATTATGAGTCCATATTTATGACAGTTTGAAGGGTTGGAGTTAATGTTGAATATGAATGAGCACGTATAGAGCTTTAAAATGATCTCAAAGTGTAGCCTTTAGAGGTGAAGAAGAAGTCACACAGCGAGGTGTCACATCATGACACCCATGTTTTGATGAAAAGAAAAAGAGATCATAAAGTGATATAAGTGAAAACCCTATGAATTGAAGTTTTACTGACATTTTTATATATTTAAAAAGTAACAATAATTCATATTAACATAATTATTTTTTTAATGATGTTTGTTCATTTTGTTTGCATTGATCTGTTGTGCTCAGTCATGTGTTAAACTGTAGGTTTTTAACTGTACACTACTCACTTGAAGCAGACCAGTTTTATGTGAAGTTTTAAAGGTTTTTATGTGTGGGTTTTAAATGTGTGTATTTCTGAATGTCAAAATCATGATATCTGTAAGTAGTCATGGTGCTGAAACGTTTCATTTTCAAAGGTGCACAAAAGCCTTGTTGCCCAAACTCCGATTGTCACTGTAACTCAAGCAGTCACTCGAGTTTTTCTCTCTCAAGAAGTTACCGAATAGTTCTGAAGCCAACATTTTCATGTTCAATCAAGATTGAAGTTCATATCAGTCAATACAAGCAAAAAGAGAACCTTAGGTTTACTACAACATGTCATGTTCACAAGACGCTCAAATCGGTTTCTAATAGAATTCTAAAGACGACAATAAATATCACTTTCTTGGTGATAAACTTCCTCATAATTTGTGTTTGAAGTTTATTTTCTAATTGTTTGTAACGTGGGTTTAGTGACGGCAACCACATGTCCAGATGGAAGATATTTTTGGTTGATTCTGAATTTGGCTCTGGGGTTTTATCAGCCTATTAATCTGAACTATACTCAACCAATCAGTTAAGAGGCAGACCACATTAATCGATGACTGATCTCCTCTTTGTGAGCACATTTACAGCTGACAGACCTACTCAATCAGTCAGAGCCCCTCTGCAGAATTCAATCAGGCCCATTTACCATTGTATTCACAGGACAGTACATCTCTGAACGATGTCCATTAATCTGTGATTCTGTTTAGCAACAGAGCAGTGGTACGGATGGCCGGTGTGACCGCGCCCTAAGCTGTTAGAGAATGACCCTTTAGAAATGTGAAACTTAATAAACAGACAGTTTCGGACAGTATAGACAGTACGGATGGCCAGTGTGACCGCGCCTTACTGTCAGTATGTTTTTCAATTGAAAAATGTTTTTTTTTTAATTGTTGCTCAAAATGACTTTGTTACTGTAAAGTCTCATCTTTTCCAGAAGCTTTAAATGCTGAAAATAAATTCAGAAAACAAGAATCAAGAGTGCTTTTTTTTATTAACTAGCTTTCAGAGTTAATAAAATGTCACTGGCACATTGCATAACTCGGTATTTATCAATAGATCCATATTCATTGATTATAAAACAGAAACATCCTGCATAGAAGTGAGCAAATACTTACTTCTAAATACTCCGCAGCAGCGCAGTCAATAAATGATAATACTGTCAAATAGTGTTCTCGACATGTAGGTGATGCCATGTGGTTCAAAAAGAAACGTGAACAACTTCTGCAAGCTCACACGGCCTCACTGTAAACAGATGTTGAACGGCTTTGTGTGATAATAATATATACACACACACACACACACACACACGATAGAAGCTTTTGTTTTTGTGTGATGTCATTGAGATGAGATGTAGCTGCACAAACTGTGTCTGTGTAATCAATGAAGGAATGATTTTCCACATCTGTAACCAGGGCTGCTGTGTAAGGAATCAAAATACTGACAGCAACCCAAATGTCCAAGTTACTGAATCCAAATCGCTGAAGCAGCATTTTTTTGGGATGAAGGTCAAATGTAACAAAACGGCTTCAAAATAAAGTTCTGAATTGCCGCAGAGATGCCCTTGCCTCAAAATGTTTCTCTGAATCCCAACAAATGTCACATCCTCATGGATCTACTCTACTTTTTGTGAATATTAAATTTATAATTGCCACTAAACTTAAATCATATCAAAATATCTATTAAAACAACTGCGTTTAAGATTTCTACATCATGCAGCACGATCTGTAACAGACTTCATATAATACTGATCTAGATGTAACCCTGTATCCTGAGTTCCCCTCTTTGAGTCGAGACAGAAGAGCACACCTCAGTACAGCTGATGTGAAAGTCACCTGGACTAATAATTAACTTCCTGGAGTAAACATGTTTGATAAATTCTTAAATCTATCGTCTTTGTACGTCAAAATCATTTTAAGGTTTGTCGCTACATCTACAAGTGCCAAAAGTCCTTTAAAGTGAAAACCTTGATTCCACATGGCACATCAAGCTGTGACCCTATCGCTTAAAAGAAACACAAATCATGTTCAGTATGTTTCACACAAGTGCAAAAAAAAAACTGAAGAAGTAACTTGGTCAAGTCAACAAAACAATAGAAAAAAAAAAGTAAAAGTGATATCAGGTAACTGGCAAATCATCCTTGAAGTTCATAGAAAACAACCACTCCAAGGAGCGAGAGTTCATTCAGCTGGTCAGGCACTGTGTTTTATGATGCTGCTACGCGTGAGCTCCACCTCCTGGTGTGGTCTGGAATGACATGATAATAGCTTGTGACAGTGATGGCATCAGTCTGAAGGTTTCCACCATGTGACCAGGGGCTGTGGAGTCCACTGGGAGTGATGGAGTCCTTTAGTCACCACTCAGTGCAGCGTTTTTATCTCTTAGGCTTTTTTAACCAATCAGCTTGGAGTCAGTTTTTGAAGGCTCCACAGCGGCTGGCTCGACATATGAAATCTTTGAGCAGGTTGCCATCGATCTGCCAGAAAGCCGTGGTCTGTGTGACTTCAGTCAGGTGGTTGACACAGAATTTAAAGCAGAAGTCTTCCAGGTCCTGAATGACAGACGTGAAAGCATACATTAGACAAACTGTTCCTTTAGAAATGACACTTTCATACTGCTTTATATTTTCATAAGCAGGACACTGCTTTCATTATTTTATGTTTTTATGTAGTTGCTCGTGTGAAGCACATTTTCATATTTTGACAAGTTCAAATGTGAAAACGACATTAATTTGTGTCGATTGTGGCGCCCCCTGTGGACAGACGTAGTAGTACATCTTATCTCTTTGCTGATCATGTCCTGTATGTATAAGTAGTGTTTTCTAACTTTGTTTTTAAACTCTCAAGAGAATCATTTAAAGGGGAATTTTTGACAGAAATTGTAAAACTTTGAGATGTTTTCATTTAAATGTAAAGTGCGTTATGGGGCGCTGGTGGCGCAGTGGTTAGGGCGCGCGCCCCATGTATGGAGGCTGTGGTCCTCAAAGTGACTCCTTTCCCGCATGTCATTCCCCTCTCTCTCTCTCTCTCTCTCTCTGATTTCCAGCTCTATCCACTGTCCTATCTCTCCATAAAAGGCACAAAAAGCCCAAAAATAAATCTTGATTTTTTTTTTTTTTTTTAAATGTTAAGTGCATTATAAATAAAAATGTATTATTATTATTATTATTATTATTATTAATAATAATAAAAAAAGGGCTTCTGTTCTTCATGCTGTAAATCACTTTGTCAGACATATATTCAGGGTCACCGGTTACAGACGTTTAAATGAAAATAAATCTCGTTTGTGATGATCTTGTCTGCTTTAGTGAGCATAAAGGGACATCAGTATTAACATCATATGGAGGAGGGGGGGGACTCACATTAAACATGTCCCACAGTAAGGATAATATCACAATAACAGCGATTCTGTGTTGGGAGAAAATTAAGTAATGATTCATCCTGATATCTGATCAAGAATATAAAATGCTCCTAAAAAAGATGAAGTGCAGGATTTATTTATTTATTGTAATCAGTCAGTTTTCACCTCCTCTCAGGCTTTATCTCTGAACTTCTTTTCACCGCTGTTTGACCTTATCGGGGCTGTCTTCTTCTTCTTCTTCTTCTTCTATCCCGCTGTGGCTGATTAACTTCCCTTCATGTTAACCTCATTAATGTTAAAAGTGCCACTGTGAGGAATAATGAAGTAGTGAGGTCAAATTTCAAGGTGCTGATTTTTTTTTGACCAGATATTTTGATTTGATTGAGTCATAAAGACGATGTATTGATGTACCAACACTTTGTCCCACCCCTAATATCATGTGATTTATTACATGGCAAAAATGTGACTGATCTCTGTCCCTGTTATCGTGTATCTAGTGATCTCCACTCAGCTCTGTAGTTAATAACTGACGTTGAATATGTACGCACCTCTGCGTCATAGCGCACAGCAGCGGACAGCAGCGAGAAGGCGTTGTCCACGGTGATTCCTCTCTTTATAATATGCTGACACAGCCGTTTCAGGCGGTTCTCACAATACGACGTGGCTAAATCCAACAGCCCTGACGGGACACAGTCACAGACAGCAACACTGTAAGTATTCACAGCTCGCACACGCACAGAGGTCAGTAAAAGGTCAGGCTGTGACGTGTGTGTTTGCGGTTCTGACCGATGGCGTCCTCGGGGGGCAGCTCCACGTCGTCGGTGTAAAGGAACTCCAGGAAGGAGCGGTACACCGGGTAGGAGAACTGGTCGATCTCAATCACCTCCTTCATGTCTTCGTTCCAGTGAGACTGGAACATGGACCTGAAGTGTTCACACCTGCACCACAGATTGTTTCAGTTTTTAATATTCTGTAAGAACCACAGAGCAGTTACAGGCCGAGTGTTTTCAGTCCCCTGACCTGATTTTGAGAATCGCTTTGTGGACGCAGATATATTTGCCGTCCACGCAGAACTTGAGGTCCGCTGTCTCCGGGTTGTCAAACTCTTTCTTCAGAGACTGAGCCACGGTCAAGAAGTCATCGTGCTCTGGAGGGGAGGAAACACACACACATACGCACACGCACACACACACACACAGAGCGGGAAATTAGGATGGAGAAACTGTAACACTGATTAGTGTAGCTTTGATAACTTAAAGGCTTTATGTGATTTTTTGATCCAGCAGATGTCGCCCTTGAGCACCAGCATGAAACCAAAACAACTCGCGCTGCATTGTTGTGTTAGCATGCTAATGCTAGTGATCTTTATTATGCTGGTATCTTCACACTGCATGTAAATTTACCTGAAATGAGCGTGATCTAGAAACACAGTTAAGCAGTGAGTACAGTATGTTATTCTTCTTTTCTCTAGTCCCTCAATTAAACAACTTTTATACACGAGGGGAGGAGTCAGCCGGCCGTCCGGGCGATGTAAACAAAGTGAAGATAGGACTCTGAAAACTCTGAAAACATCACAGACAGTGGGACTCGGGTGTTACACCCATTGTAGACAGTCATGACTCACAGAGTTATTTTCAGAGGATATACTTGATTTAGATTTAAAAAAATGTGAAACATCACAGATAAAGACTTTAAAAACATCCACAGTGTGCACAGTCCTCAGTTCCAGTAGGAGACAGTTTAGGAACAACAACTTTAGTCTCCTTAAGTTTTAAGTCTAGTGCGAGGAACAACCAGTAGACACTGATCAGAAGCCTTCAGAGTCCTGCTGGTGCCGTGCGGCTTCAAAAAACTTATATTTTTGCTGTGGCTATGTTTGACGTGGTCTTGTGAAATTCCTTTTCTGTTTCAATCCAAAGGTAAGGATGATCTATTTCACAATGTAATTCAAAGTTTAGCTTTAGTTTTTAACTGAACAGAAATAAGAGTTTTACTTACTAACTATTTAAACAGCTTTTTTTTTTATATTAACATGTTCACAAGAATCCGGCCCGCAACTGACTAGTAATGCAGTTCACGGTTTCCACTGCAGGAAAACTAAGTAGAAATGTCTCTGCTCAAGATAACGAGCTCTTGTAAACAAAGTCAAGTTCAATAGCTCCCCCGTTCTCTGGAACTACGGGTGCCAGACCCTCCCCCCCCCCCGCCTCCCTCCCTCCCCCCAACTCAGTCCAGGAATTCACTGAGCTATATTTACAATTTTTTACCTCTTTTTTTTTTTTAAAGATGTTATTTTGGCCTTTAATGCATTTCTAAGACAGGGCAGTGGATAGAGTAGGAAGCTTCTGATAGAGAGAGGGGAACGACAGCAGCTGCAGGTCGGACTTGAACCCGGGCCGCTTGGAACACTATAGCCTACTTACAATGGGACGCAATCTAACTGCTAAGCCATCTGCACCCCCCTATGTAACCTCTTTAACACGCATACAGCATTTTTGGAAACTTCTTGCTTGGTGGTGCCTTCAGGGAAAATCTGGCACACAGAACATGCTTTACAACACAGTGGAACAGCTGGTGAAGCCCGTTCATCATCACAGCGTCATTGTACCTCGTCTTACCCATGGAAAGAAGCCTCCACATGACCGAGGGCGTGGCGAAGCATGCAAAGACATCGTCGGTGCAGGTAAAGTGTGTGAGGTGGGGCAGCACGATGGACTGGCCCCTGCACTGGCCCCACATGTACACCTGCCCACTCTGGGTCTTAGCAGCCGACGTGTGCGTGGAGTGACAGGCGGCGATCTCCACGATCCTGTCAAGAGGAGGCAGAGGAGACGTGTGTGAGCGGTGTGTGTGTGTGTGTGTGTGAGAACACATCTGATCATCACTCTCGCTCACCTCTCTTTCTCCGCCATGATCTGGATTGGACTCAGCTGGTTGCTCTTGTTTCCCGTGCCTAGTTGTCCGTATGTGTTGGCACCCCAGGCGTAAAGCAATCCCTCGTCAGTTAGAGCAAGAGAGTGAGCGTAACCCGAGACGATCTGATGAGCAGGAAAATAAAATCTTCAATGTACCGGTAAGCCAAAAAATCTTTTAGCAAAAAAAGCAATGACAAGTTACAATAAATAAAAGCAATGAAGAATTGTCCACTCCATCTCCATTCACATGAAGATGAGTATAGATCTTCTGTTTGTGGAGAGAGTTATCCAAATATGTGACAAATTGTACCATTTATAAACCAAAATAAATCTGAGTACATCTCAAACTGAAGGACTTTGTTCGTTTCTTACACTGAATTGAATATGTTCTGGAATTTGTTTTTTATCTTACAAATGACAAAACATTCCTTAAAGTTCTGTTACTTCTTAAATATCAGTATCTTAAAAACAGGAAGGAGGAGGTTCATTTTGAAAAACAGTTTCTACCAAAACTTTGAAGAATGCGCGGACTGCGACAGAAAATGTTTTAAATAAACAAAGTGAGGCCTGCTTCAGTTTTAAAACAAGATGATTTACTCCTTATTTTGAAGACCTGGAGTTCATGTTTACTCAATCTTCATTTTCCCGAGAGATTCAGTCATCCTGTTACACACAATTTTCTAAACATCGACACGTCGTTTTCTTTCTGTCAGCACTGTTTTGTGTGCTGCTTTCGATGGTGTCTTATGGAAAGGCTAAGTCAGAAAAATGTGATTTCATATTTTAAGGTCTTTGTACCAGAACAATTGGCTTGGTTTGACTTCCATAGAATCTTTTTCTGAATATTTTGTTGGGTCACCACCCTGTCATGATCAATCAATTTTACAAGTATCTTAAAATAACTCCTAATATGGACGTTCCAGAGAAAGGTAGGTTTTAAAGGATCATCCAAACATTTAGTGAGTGTATTTTCTCCAACCTGTTGCACACATAAACCCTGCAGAGCAGCGAGGCGACAGGGAGTGAGCTGGTTTCCGTTGTTTCCAAGTCCAAGTTGTCCGTTCCCGTTGTAGCCCCAGCCGTACACCTGCAGAGACATGAGGTCCACATGAGCTCTGCAGAGAAACCAGGATGAATCCCACTGTGTTTTAAATAACAAATGTAAAAAACAGTCACCTCTCCGTTGTCCACCACTGCTGTGGATGAGGTCTGACCGCAGACGATGCTGATTGCCACTTTGTTCTGCAGGCAGCTCGACACTCTGCGTGGAGTGGGCTGGTTGGCCGTGGAGCCTGAACCTACTTGACCACAGTTGTTGTAGCCCCACGCATACACCTGGCAAAAACAGGCGGTGGAAAAGTGAAGAGTTTGTATTTGAACGTTATTTAACCTTTGCTTAAGCAGTAAGTCCATTGAGACTTTGTGAAACATTAAAAAAAGTGACAGGAATCAATCCTCCTCAATTGGAAATCTCCAACCCCTCCATCTCACTCACGATGGATTCCAAGGTTATGTCAGTTCTTAAACTGGAAAAAATGAGATGCACGGTTCAGGGATCATCAAAGATATTTCCAACCCCTTCTTAGACTATTATGCAAACATATATGATGCTAATACTCTAGACCAGTAGCCCCGCCCCCACATCTCGCCCCTACCTTCTCCCCTCCTTCTTCTTTGTATTGCAGTACTCAATTTGTCTTTACTTATGCATTCTGCTGCATACAGAAGTATCCCATATACTAAGTTTGTGGGATATGTATACCAGTGAAACATATGCACAACAAAGCTCCTCTGTCACTTTTATTTGTGTATGTATTTCTCTCTTCTGCTGTTCTTCCTTTTTTTTTTTTTTTCCTCTTCTCTCTCCTTTTTTCGTGTGTGACTATGATTGTTTCTGCGTACTATTGTTGAAAAGTCAATGAAAATATTCTTTAAAACAAAAACAAAACAAAAAAAGTGACAGGAATCATAAAATATTATGAGACAAAACTTCAAATGATGGAGGAAGAAGTCTTTTGAAGATGATAGTTAAATATCAAAAAAGCTTTTTTTTTTCAGGTGGGCTGCATGTGTGGATGAAAACTGAAGACTTTATTTGGAATTTTTCCTGCCAACCTCCCAGTAAAATGTGTTTAAGGAGTCAGGGTGCGCTGATGTGTGAACGCAGCAGGTAATAGGAAATAAAAATCACTGCAACAGAGTGGACGAAGGTATATAGGAATTCACACTACCATAACAATACCCAAAACTCCTTCTGCACAGGCTACCCAGCCCACCCTCCACTCATATCTGGAACAAACTCCCAGAAAACTGCAGGTCTGCTGAAACTCTCAGCTCTTTTAAATCCAGGTTGAAGGCTCACCTGTTTACAGCCTTTAATTAAACAGCTTTAATACGATTTTTAATTTTAACTCTGCACTCTAACTTTTAACTCTTTGTATATTTTTACTTTATTTATTTAAATTAATTTCATTTGAATTATTTTTCTTTGAACATATTTTCAGATTTAATAACTTCAGTGATTTTTTAATGTTCTACTTTAATGTTTCTTTTCTTTCCTCTGTCACGATGCTTTTTGATGTCTTGTGTGAAGCACTTTGAAAGGCCTTGTTGTTGAAATGTGCTATAGAAATAAACTTGCCTTGCCATATAAACCTATCAAAAGTATTTTGAATTGTCACATAGATGATCTCCTGCTGTGAGGGGCTTTGTGAGAAGAAGCATGTGTGAGAAGGTGACTAATCACTGCCTTTAACCAAAGAGAAGAAAAGAAAGATGTTATAACAGTAATCTAAAAATGACCCCTCACTCACTTCTCCTGAGTCGGTCAGCGCCATCGAGTGGTGAGAGCCACACGACACCTCTGTGATCTTCTTATTGAGCAGGTTGGCCGACACCAGCACTGGAGAGACTCCTTGGTTGGTTGTCCCGTTTCCCAGTTGGCTGTAACCATTATGACCCCAGGCGAATAGCTCTCCGTCTGAAACACACAGAACGATTAGACCTCGCGCAGCACTTTGTAATCCCACTGTGAAATCGGAGGATTAAAGGTTTTTTTTTTTTTTTTGTGCAGATACCCTCTGTGGCCAGCAGGATGTGGGGGCCGCTGCCGTAGCTCAGGCTGACCACCTTCCTCCCGCTCAGGAAGTCCAGCTTCTTGGGTACGATGGTGCTCAGGCTGTCCCCTGTGCCCAGGCAGTTACTGCAGTTCAAGCCAAACACGTACACCTGAACGTGTAGAGGAAGGACAACAGAGGGATCATGTTATACGGATCATAGTTAACAGGTCACATTCCAGACACAAAAACATCAACAGGGCTGATAAGACCTTGGGCACCACCAACAGCTGCTCCCTTCACACACAGCTTAATACAAAACAACAGCACATATGACAAAGAGAGGGGACAAGCAAAGACATGAGCCCTAGTCGCTTTTTTAATAAACATTAAAGTCTTTATATGTGATTCTTCACACTTAAATATAATAGAAATCAAGTATATCCTCTGAAAATAACTCTGTGAGTCATGACTGTCTACAATGGGTGTAACACCCGAGTCCCACTGTCTGTGATGTTTTCAGAGTTTTCAGAGTCCTAGCTTCACTTTGTTTACATCGCCGGGACGGCTGGCTGACTCCTCCCCTCGTGTATAAAAGTTGTTTAATTGAGGGACTAGAGAAAAGAAGAATAACATACTGTACTCACTGCTTAACTGTGTTTCTAGATCACGCTCATTTCAGGTAAATTTACATGCAGTGTGAAGATACCAGCATAATAAAGATCGCTAGCATTAGCATGCTAACACAACAATGCAGCACAAGTTGTTTTGGTTTCATGCTGGTGCTCAAGGGCGACATCTGCTGGATCAAAAAATCACATATAAAGCCTTTCACACTAGATATTAATGAACCAAACAAAGGTTTTAAAGGTGCTCTGGCTACAAGTTGCAAATCAAATAGTTGCCCATCATGATCATGTTTCAAGGAAAATCTTTACATTCGAGATTTAACCGATTTGGCCGATCTGGGATCAGTTTGTTCTCAGGCAAGTGCAGAGACTGTTGTCTGACCCGTCTCAAGTCCTCCTCTCTGGACATGAGCTCTTCCCATCGGGCAGACGACACAGAGTCCCTCCAAACAAACTGAACTGTTTTAAAAACTCATTGGTGTCACCTCGATTCAACTTTAAAATAAAAGTTTCCAAAGGCTGTTTGGGTGGTGCAATAATGTGATGCATTGTGTTCTTGTATATTTTATTTATTATTATTAAGTGATGACTTCTTTGACTTATGGGTAGTCAATTTACTAATGCAGAGAGTGATGCTTCACTTGGGCGCAGACCAACATCATGCACCTTTTTCCCTGGGGCTGACTTTGCACCTGTACTTTGACACGTGATATCTTTGAGTGGATTAGAATTTATTTCTGTATGATTACAACTTTTATTGATTTTAATTTCTCCTCTACTTTTATGAACATTTATTTATGTACTTGTTTGTTCATGTGTATTATTGTGTATATGTATATTCTTTGGAGTGGACATTTTGATTTGTATCTTACTTTTGTAATCTATTTCTGCTGGCTTAATATCCGAATGTAACTATACAGCTGGAAAAAGGAAAAAAAAAAAGAAATTTTTTCATATTGTATTGTTGTTGATGAGAAAAATGAACAAAAACTAAGTTTTAAAAAAAAACAAAAAAACTTGTAATATGAAAGAAATGGTGGTAAGGTAAAGTCTGCATGCTTTGCAGGTTAATAGACAAAATGTTCAAACCAACGGGTCATCTTGCAATTAGTAATGCACAATTTAACGTCTTCCATCAGCGAGAAGGGCGAGCGGCGACTCTGCCTGCCTGATTAACCTCACCTCGTCATCATTGTTGATGTAGATGGCCTCATTAGCAGACGTTCCAAATACACAGGCTTTCCGTATATTGGAGAGCTCCTGGGGCCCCATCAGGCTGAAAATGGGCCATTTGGTCACATCCACCATGATGAGCTGGCTGTGAGTCTGTGGCGGGATGGATGGATGACCCTCAGTCCAAAGGCAGGGCAGGGGATGGGGGCAGGGGGGGGGCGTGGGTCAGCACAGTTGCCAGTGCTGCTGTAACTGTTAAGATAAAGTGTTATAAACATTAAAAAAAAAACATTTTTGCAATTTACATAACCATTGTTTAAGTTAAGGCATTAAAACACAGAAAATAGAGTTTGTAATTATTTGCTGTCAAGTTTAATCCCTGGAAAAAATGCATTTCAAAACAAAGTCGTATCAGTGTTTCTACTCACACAGGAACACACCGGCTTGAAACAAATACAATAATGTACAACTTTAGAAATAATGCTAAGCCAACACACGACCTCTCCGGGGAGATTACAGAAAAGTTGGGTAATGTGGTGGCTCAAACAGATCCAGGCTGGTATGTAGAAAGCTCCTCGAAGTAAAGCCTTAAACCAGGGGTGGGCAACTGGCGGCCCGGGGGCCACATGCGGGCCCCCATCAACCTTGAAAGTGGCCCTCAGGTCAATTGTTACATATCAATTAACTGGAAAACATGAAAAATGCCATGAAATCATGAAAACCAGAAATATGTCCATAATAATATTTGATCACTGGTATATGTTGAGTTAAATTTGAGACATAATCGACTGTAATCGTTTTTGTATCCTACAATTTGGCCCCCTGGCGGTGAGAATTAAACGAATGTGGCCCCTTGCGGTGACTAAAGTTGCTCATCCCTGCCCTGATTTCATAACGATAACAATATGTGCCATGAATAAACATCCCTGACTCTTAACATCACATGTGAGCAGATAGACAGAAGGGACTCCCCTCTCGTTTGGACCTTAAAGAACAAAGTCCATCTTAAAATTTGTTTCTAATGGTGGAGAATTTGATCCCCCCCCCCCCCATACATATATATTAACCTGAAAAAAAGATTTAAAGAATCCCTCTAGATGAATCAAACTTAAACTGTGCAATTAAAAATAGACTTATACAAAAAATCAAGAAATGTACATAAAACATGCAAGGAGAAAAATATATGTGAAATTAAAACAAGAAACTATAAACAGTTGAGGAAAAAAGTCCTGAATATAAAAAATAAAAAAGTGTTGAGCTTCTGAAGTTGTGTTGTTTATATATGTAGCAATGTTTAAAAAGAAGATTATCAAAAAACAGATATTAAATACCAGGCAGTGCAAACATTAAATTAAATGTGCTATTTAAGTAATTGAATCATTAAAGTGTCCAGCTAGAGGCCGACTCTCTGCCGTGCAGATGGGAAACGGAAAAAAGGAAGTGTGTGGGGAAAAAAGTGTCGGTTAAAAAGAGTTTCAAACAGTCCCCGGTGTGTGATAGAGAAAGGGTGCAACTGATGCCTTGTAATCCTAGAAAGTAAATTGTGATAATGCTGTGAGTGTACAAACATTATATCACACTGAAATGTTTCCTGATTAGCTCGTTCATAAGGGTTCATCAAATATACATAAATACATTTCTCAATGCGTTGAGCCTTGACTAATGTGGAAGCATCTTTAACTCACTTGGATTTCACCTCTAAAACAAAAGCTGCTTGTTGGAGTTTTAATAAATAGAAACATTGATTTTCAATCGTTCAGGTGTTTCATGTTCTGGATCAGCGACGGGGCAACTTTTGGTCACAGCAAAGGGGCCACATTCATTTACTTCTCACTGCCAGAGGGGCCACATTCATTTACTTCTCACTGCCAGAGGGGCCACATTCATTTACTTCTCACTGCCAGAGGGGCCACATTCATTTACTTCTCACTGCCAGAGGGGCCACATTCATTTACTTCTCACTGCCAGAGGGGCCAAACTGTAGAATACAAAAACGATTACAGTCGATTTAGTCTCCAATTCAACTCAACATACACCAGCGATCAAATATTATCTGGTTTTCATGATTTCATGGCAGATTTTGTCGTTTTGTTTTTCTTCATGTTCCCGATTAATTGATGACCTGAGGGTCCACGTTGAGGGTTGATGGGGGGCCGCCAGTTGCCCACCCCCTGTTCTGGATGTTTCCCAACTCACAGAGACAAAGTTTTCAGATGTGCACAATCTGGCATCTGCAGCTGAGGAATCTTTGAACTCTGGTTGATACCACACGCACACACACACACACACACACACACGCACACACACGCACACGCACGCACACACACAGGTCAGCTGAAACACACAGGACTGTTTTATGTAAACACATTTAAGAGCTTCTGACTGTGTTGAAGATGTAGGTCACAGAAGACTTTAAAGTGTTGTAACAACGTTGTTAAACCAACAGAGACTCATCCCCCCTCCTCCTCCTCCTCCTCCTCCTCCTCCTCCTCCTCCTCCTCTTCCTCTCCCCCCTCCTCCTCTCCTCCTCCTCCTCCTCCTCCTCCTCTTGTGTTATCTCTTTAACATCAAACAAACACAGTTAAATGAAAGCTGCACGTCCAGCAGGCTGAATGTTGATGGTCATTGTTTACAAACACATTATTCAGCACACCGTCACAGCTGACACAACAAAGTGAGTCGGTACTAGACCAATCTGAGCAGAGCTGAGCTAACACACAGTTAGCAGCATTATTATAACCCCAAAAAACAAAACAACTTCTAATCTGCTTACAGAAGAAAAACAACATTTGACACGTGAGCTCACCTGTTAAAGAAGGTCTGTTTCCGGTTTCGTTAAACGGTTCTTGTTGACGGTTTTAAGCATGACACTCCGGTGTCCGGTGTCGAGATGTCTGCGTTTGTTTTCACTTTCCGCTCCAGCAGCCCCACTCCGCTCTGACGACTTATTTCCGGAAGTGAGGAGGAGAAAAACACTGTCACGTGATTCGACAGACCAAAATAATCGATGGAAGATCCAGAAAAAACTTCGAATTTATGGAGGACGAGATCTGACAGAAGTATAAATAAATAAATAAATAAATAAATGAATGTATAAATAAATACTGGAATAAATAAATAAATAATTAAATGCGTGAATAAATAAATAAAAACTGGTAAATAAATGGGACATAAATAATTAAATGTCTTAAATTTATTTCTACATTTATTTATTTCTACATGTATTTATTTCCACATTTATTTATTTCTACATGTATTTATTTCCATATTTATTTATTTATACATTTATTTATTTCAATATTTATTTATTTATACATTTATTTATTTCTACCTCATTAGCATACGGACACGTGGAAATAAATAAACGTAGAAATAAATAAATGTGGAAATAAATGAATGCAGAAATAAATTTAAGACATTTAATTATTTATGTCCCATTTATTTACCAGTTTTTATTTATTTAATAACGCATTTAATAATTTATTTATTTATTCATTCTTTTATTTATTTATTCCAGTATTTATTTATACATTTATTTATTTATTTATTTATTTATACTTCTGTCAGATCTCATCCTCCATACAAATTGACATATTATGCTGATATGGGAAAATTTTAACGAGTGTGCGCATAAAATTGAACTAAGCCAATAAGAACATTAAAATGCAACTTTAGGATGTTTTTTCCGGAGTGAATATGTTCAAAGCAACCTATATCAGTAACAAATAAGTTGATAAACTGAAGTGGATAAATCCCTCAGCATGGAAGCCAAATTCAGCCATGCAAAAAAAATATATATATATATAATACGTTTTTTATACGATATCATAAATGATAATATCACACAAAAAAACTAGTTTTTCGTCATATAGCTTTTTTTTTTTTTTTTTTAAATCTGAGATGATGGATGCCATTCCAGCATGAAGATCATAATGATTGAAGTAAAAATAACCTAATGGTGTTCAGTAATAAATCCTTTGAGTTAGCTATAGTGATTTCGAAGGCTAAAATCTAATGCAATATTATATAATTAAGCAGTACATTTTTCTCCAGTTCTCATACTGATAACTTAAAAGTTGTTCTATGGTGATGAATAATTTTGTATTGAGATTTCTACCCCTTGTTTAATCTGTAATACCAAAAAGAAAAAAAACACTTTCTAAAAAGATAGATAGAATTTTTTTAATTGAATTCGAGGTCAAATTAGCGTCTTCATTTGCAGAGAAAGATCTTTTAAAAATTGTAAAGATTTAGAAAAGCTTCAAATTGGCTTGTTTTATGATTATTTTTCTGACTGCTATTTCTACTTTGTCAAGATTGATCTTCCGCCCAGATGGAGTATTTACTCACACCAACTAGATCCACTGAGTTACTTTGAGGAAATTAAATTACACTTCCAAAAACAAGATCAGATTTTAAAATACATTTTCTTTTTAGAAGTTGCCACAAAAAGCCTGGTTCATGGGAACTCTGGATCAAGCTTAGTTTAATGATCCACAAAAAAAAAAAAAAAGTATTTGCATGTTTTTGTTGTAGATTTACATTTAGTGTCTGCAGGCTTAGTTAATCATTACTCATTTAGGAGTTGTGTACTAACGTACATGATTAGATTGTGCCACTTAAAAAACCTGTTTTCACAACACAATAACACCGTTTTTAATGTCCACTGTAACTTATTTTTTAAGCTTGTGTTGCCTGACCTGGAGTCACCTGTACAACTAAAATGTTACATCTGGGGTGTCAAATAAGGTCACACACACCACCCTAACCTCAAGAGAAAAGAGGGAGATCCATGAGAAATAGAGAAATGTGACACATTAAAAACTATCCTATAATGTGTTGTAGAAATTACAAATGTAAAGGATTACATTTCCGTAGGAGCATAAAACCTAACAGACCTTTCTTAGAAGCTGATTTCGCGGTACAACTTCATTTTAACTAACGGCGACTGAATGTGTGAATCAACAACACTTGCAAGCACGAAGGATCCAACGGCTAAACAGCAAGTTTATTTTGGTTAGGATCAGAAACACAGATTATGTCCTGAGGGTGAGATGAGATCATTTCAAAAATCCCCTGACGGTAATATGGCAATCATGATTGGGTGGTGTTTTGGGGGTATGGGGAGGGGGAGTAATGAGTGGGAGAAATGGTGTGTTACAATGTTTAGTGAATAAGATCGGAGGGGAGCAGTTACTCTCAACAGCAGAGAGCAGCATAGAGCATTCCCATGGCAACTCCAAACAACAGGGAGCGAGCACATTGATTCCTGTAGCCACATCTCCCGTTTCTCTATTCTCCATGTCGCGAGAAGAATTCTTTTTTTTCTATTCAATAAAACGTCGTTTTAGTTGAAATGAAAAACAAAAGGCACAATGATTTTCAACTCGTTCTTGTCTTTAATATGCACAAGAGTTGAAAGCATCAATGAGCCACCTTAAAGAGAGGAATTCAATCTAAAATTTATAAAAAGATATAAACAATCAGAGGCCAAAACGCTGTCTGTTGCTTTTCTCCTATTATTTTTTTTTTATATTTAAAACAACTTTTCATTAGCAAGTAAAAATCTTGCAACAAACATAAGCTTGTATCCAATGCGAATACAAGGCAACGAAATTGTAAATCTTTAAAGTGGCTCGGTCTAGTCTGCTAGTTCATGACTGTACACCCTCTCTATAGTTTTGTTCAGTAATAAACAGCTAGTCCCAAAAACAAGCCTGGGCTGCGCATAACAACCCCACCCCAATATTTAAAACCCCAAGTGTGACCCACCCCCACCCGTCGTTCTGACCCCCTCTCAGTAGTTAGCAGCCAACCAGAGGATCATAAAGTCTTCGAGACCAGGGGCTGGGGTCAGGTTCAGGGATTCTTTTTGACACCCTGAAGCCGCACCCACACACCAACTGAGACATGGGACGGCACATTTTTAAACAGCCCGTCACCACTACGAAGAGAGAGAGAGGAAAAAAAAAAAAAACAGCCTGTTCCAATTTATCAGCATGTCATCACAATACATATGCAAGTCAAAAATAAAAACAATAAAACAAAGAAATATTTTTTCCAAAAGAAAAAAGAAAACCTCCCCAGCCATCTTTGACAGTAAGGTTAATCGTCCATCCAATGACTGTCAGCTGCAGCAGCTTTGTACAGGCTTTATGTAAATATATTCATATATTCATTAGACGGCAAAGGAGAGATTACACATCACATTTGTTTTTGTACAATTATTCAAATCGAGTGATGACATGTTACCTCTTCATCAAAAGTAGTTAAGTACTGTAAAGGTCAGGACCTGTACTCATTATATAAGTCTAGTCTTCGAGGAGAATAGGTCCCTTTCTGCAGGCAGACATCAATATGCCTCTCAGACGTGTGCATAAGACTGAAGAAGAAAAAAAAAAAGAAGAATAAAAGAGACAAATGGAAGCTCCACAGACTCAACCAGGAGAAGCTCAAACATGAACCTAAAGTTTTGTTTTTCCTAGAGAGTTTAAAAAAATAATTAAAACAAGTTTGATTCAGGCCGATTTGAGCTCGACTTTTTCCTTTCCTTTAAAAAAAATAAAAAAAAATAAAAACTAAGTTGACCCCCCCCACCCCCCCTTTTTTTTTTCAAGCTTCACATTACAGGGGAGTCTAGAGCAGACGGGTCGCTGGATCAGAGGACGTGAACCGAGCTCATGCTGCAGAAATGAATGTCCTGTAGGTGGGGGAAGCAGGGGGGGGTGGGGGGGGGACACACACTACAGCTGACATGACCCTCTTCTACTAAGTCTCTGCGCCTAAAGGTGATTCCTCCCGATAGGTAATCACACATCTGTAGGAAAAAAAAAAGGAAGCTTTTGTCGCTTTGCAGTAAGCAGGTCTTACAGTTGCATGAATTGAAAAAAAATAAGAATAATTATGGCATTTTCTTCACATTTTGATGATTTTTTTTCCTTATTAACAAGTTTGATAATTCAACAGAGGTCACGTTAAAAAAAAAAGTGACGTCATTGAGTCGAAAGTCCCGTCAGTCAGTTCGCCACGGAGTCCTCTTTTCGCCTTGGAGCCCTTTCATCACTACCACCTGCCCCAGGACTCTTCTGGGAGGGCAGTGGGGGGGGGGGGTCCGTGGTTAGTCATGGCTTAGCTCTGGGATTAACTCTTTAAACTGGTTTGGAAGAGGGTTATTTGGGGGAGGGGGTGCCCGACCATCAGGAATCTGTGTGACTAAAGTGTGTCAATGTGTGTTCTTGTTTGTCAGTGTGCGTGAACGTAGGTGAAGTTAACACCAGAGGACGATCCAGGGGAGGGGGGGAAAGCACAAAAAAGAAAGCACAAACGAACAGCAGTATTTCTCCCCCCATAAGTGATATGATGACTTCTAACAGAAGTATGCACACAAATTCTAAGTGCGAGTGTGTGTGTGTGTGTGTGTGTCTGAAAGTGTGCTTGTGTGTTTTTGTCTCTATGAAGATTTGACATTTGGCAATAAGTTGCCATGAAGGCTTTCTCTACCTTGTGGTTTGTATTTTTGAGTGATGTGTTTCGAAGCACTAGCAGACAGTGCAGACAATCCTTCCAGATGTAGGTTGCCAGATGGTGATGGTGCCCCATTGGATGACCAGGATTCCAATGTAGGTTTAAACCGTGTACAGTGAAGGATGGAGAAATAAAACAAACAAAAAAAAAAAAAAAACACCCCGCAGTGCAGAGAGGTTGGGGTGGGTAAATCCTTCAGTGGTGAGTTTTTTTTTTTTTTGTTGACGTGATGTTTTTGTAAATCCTTCTGTACCAGGTTGCCAGGTTGGAGGAGAGATGGATGAATGTCTTAGGGTGACCCGTGCAGCTGGTTGAAGCGAACATCCTGGATTCTTAGAAATTAAACTCTTTTGTTTGCATGTTGGAAGCTGGATCAAAGTTGAATGTCCCTCCTTGAGTGGTGTCGGGGATCAAGCTGGGATCTTCATCGATCTAAAAGAAAAAAAAAAAAAAAAAGGGACAGATTTTGTGTCATTACATCAGAGCAAGATTTTTGAATGAAAAAAAAAAAAGATTAAAATGTTGTGTTGGAAACTTACATCATCTCCTGAAAAGTATTGATCAATAATCTCAAAGGCTAGTTTGTAGATATCCTCATTCTCATGCTGCTGCAGGTTTTCTATCTTCTCCAAACCTGTAAAAATCAAAACAATGACATCATATATTCTGGTGTTTTTTCCCCCCAACATTAGCACTGGGAACTCGCTCCTACTTTTAACATTCAGGGTTTGATTGAACAGGGGCTTAGGGCGCGGTCTCACTGGCCATCCATACCGTGCCCAAGCACGCTTCAACCCTAAAGTCCAGTCCGTTTGACCAGTGTGACCGCTCCGTATCGTGCTCAGGCACGGTGCACTTCCTTGGCTTTGGCACACTTGGGAGAGGTGTGCCTCGACACGGTACACTTCATGCACAAGCACAAGCATGCGGGTACACAACGCTGACAGCCTTCATTATAGAGAAATCCAGAGTTTGTGCTTGGGTACAGCACGGTACAGATGACCGGTGTGACCGCGCCCTTAGTCAAAACATGCTCTCATTAGCAAAACGAGAATAAACCATAAATCTCACAGACAAAAATAATTAAATAAAAACACATCAGCTCAAATAAAGCAAGAGAACTAAGAGAAAGCACAGACGAAATGTAACCAAAGAATTCCGTCAGCATTCATCAGTCAGGTACAGACCTCCACACTCCTCTATGATCTCAGCGATAGTGCTCGCTTCGTCTCCCGCCATGATCAGGATGTTCTTCAGGCCGTCCAGGACAACCTGCACCACCTGCGAGTCCTTCACTGACAGCAGGTAACAGAATGGAGGGATGACATTCTGCTCAACCAGGAACTCCACCTACACAAACCCACACATACCACATCCATACTTGATTACAACATAGGTACATGGTTACAAGTGTGGAATCACCTGGACGACCTTTAAATGTGAACAATACAACACGGCCTAGTTTCAAGCGTCAATAACGGGGACAGTTTGCTTTTTTTTTTTGAAAAGGAAAAAAAAAACAATCATTATTGAAATGATGCAATATTTTAAGACTGACTCACATGCTAGAAAGGGTTTCTGATGTTAAATATAAAACACATCACACCCAACACGGCAGATTTTTTACATCACAAGTCCAAAAGCCAAGCCCACCTGGTCTTTTCTCCCGCTGATGGTGAGGTTGCTGATGGCCCAGGCTGCCTCCTTCTGAGTGCCAAAGTCTCCCTGAAGAGAGACAGGCTGTCACTAACATGTGCTTTTTTTCAGTACAACAGGAGAATGCCAAGACTTGGAAGAAATCTGGGCTAGGTTTGGATTCATGATTCAATGCATGTATCAAGAGTTCTCCGTCAACCAAACACTGAATGTGTCAACGAGCTCCAGCTTTAAGGTCTTCTATGATCGGTGGTGAAAAATGAACAAACAGAATGGAGTACATGAAGAGCTTCTTTTCCTGTTCTTCCTCCATGCACAAACCTTAGCCAGTTGGTGAATAATCATAGGAATGAGTCCAGCGTCGATCACAGCTTGGACCTGCTGCTGGTTCCCAGCTGTAATGTTGGACAGGAACCAGACTGCTTCCTGGAAACAGACCAATGACAAATGGTCAGAACTGGCACTTGGTCCTTAACGCACATTCTTTCAAAGCCTCGCATTCTTCTTTTCTACCTTGTTGTTCCACAGTTGTGGTATTAACCTCAGGTTCAAAAAGTTTTAACATCTGATTTAGTTTCTACTTTATCAGCTTGATGCGAGTAAATCGTAGGTGCTTTTATTACAATGAATGCCAATGTGAGATTCATGTTTGTAACCCTTAGTGCAGTGTTTTTACTTTGAATAAAACAAGACACTGAGATCTGTCAGGAGTTAGTAGTAATTTTCTCAAAACAAATCACAGACTCTACTGTTAGCTCACAATAATGACTAAGAAAATACTAGACCTGCTTCTGAGAAACAAAAAAAAAAAAAACATACTGGCAGTGAGTCAGAAAGCTCTCAAATGTTATGAACTTCAAGGTGCAGACTTCTATTTTTATTCTAAGTAATGAGAAACCACAAGACTTCAAAAAAACAACAACAAGGAAGTGAACAGTAGGATACCTTATTGATCTTTTCTTTAGGGTGTGTGAGAAGGTTGGGGAAGTGTGAGAGGACGTCACAGTTGAGCACAACCTGCGTCTGCTCATCTGTCCCTGTCACGATGTTCCCCACTGCCCTCAGAGCTGCCGTCTGCAGTTTTCAAGACAAGAGAAGATGCACAAGATGAATACATTTGATGATGAATTCACAAGGAAAATTAGAAAGCGTTACCTCACTGGAGACAAAAAAAAGAAAGAGAAGGTATTATCTAATATATTCTGACCTGTACTTTGACCTCCTGATGGCTGAGGAGAGGCACAAGAAATGGAACGACTCCAGAGTCAATGACCATTTGAATCTGCTCGTTGCCGCCGTCTGTCAAATAGGACAGGGCCCATACTGTGTCTACAAGGATCTAAACACAAAAACACACAACGAGTAAAACCCTGAGCGAAAATAGAGCTTGCAGACAAGATTAAAAAAAAAGCTTGCAGACAGTTAAAATCAAGGGTTATTTTCTTAAAAGCCCCCTCCGCTCTGATACTCACATTAATATCGGTGTGATATATTAGCACACAGAGGGCTGGCAATATCTGTGGGGGGAAGAAAAGTGGGTTGTGAGTGGGCTGGATGTTGGCAAAGGAATAGTTGATCAGATGAAGGCAGAAACAGGGCAGAGAGAGAGAGACACAAAAAAAATTTACAAAGTGGAAAAGCTGTCAAAACCAGACTTCAAAACGTCACCAAAAGAGCTTTGTAGTTTGAAATTCCCCGGGGTAACACGGCTGAACCGGCTACTGAAAAAAACGCTCTGCGAAAAACTGTGTGTGACTCAGCCTGCGGTGACACAAGTCGACTGCAGAACAACACATCCATCTGTCTGGCAACATGAAAGTCTGCACACACATGCACAAATACCAACCTCTTGCACAGTCTCCATGGGCGGCGGTGGATCCTTGTTGCGGCAGAGGTTGACAATGACCCAGGTGACGTTGCGGAGGAAGGTGATGGGGATTGATGGGTTAATGAAAGATAGCAGAGGCTTGACCACGCCCAGGGAGATGACATAGTCCCGGCACTGTGGACCATCACCTTGGAAGGAAAGAGGTCAACAGTTAAGTCTACACAGTTGTTGAAAAGTGACAATATTCACACTCCAATGATATGCTACTGCTTACCTATAATGTTTCCCAAAGCCCATACAGCCTGTTCACAAACATTCTGGTGGGGAGAGTGCAGCAGTCGCAGGAACAGGGGCACTGCATCTAAACATACACACATCAGATCAAAGATAACGCACCATGGGAAGAGTTTATGCAGCTCCAGTGGGACACTTTGTTGTCCATTCACATCCAAAGCAAAGTAAATGAAACAATAATATATGACTGTGTCACAACTATTGACATACATAACAGCCAATGTGAATGTCAGTAGGGGTTTCAATTTGAATGTAATTGTATCAACGAGTGCAAGCAAATTCTAGCTTAAAAAATGTGTTCTTTTGGGACGCTGGTTTGGCTCATTTGGTAGAGTGGGTACCCCATGTATAGAGGCTATAGTACTTGTTGCAGGTTCAACTCCTGATCCTGATGATGTTGTAATGTATGTCACCCCCCCCCCCCCACTCTCTCTCCCCATGTTTCCTGTCACTCTAAAGCAGTCCTGTCTAATAAAAGGCTGAAAAAGTCCCAGGTTAGGGTCATCGGGTCTAGCAGTAAAACGTTGCAGATTGATGTATTTTTGCAAGTTAGAGTGCAGAACGAGATTATTATAGTTACAAAGAGTGTAACAAAATAAACACTTAGATTGACTGAGATTAAAATAAAAACTGGATTTTAGAAAAATCACATCTAAATTCAAGATTCTAGTAGTTTGCCGTTCTCTGATCTCCTCTCTGATTGAGCTGCTTCTGTAACAGCCAGTTAATCCCACTGATGATCATGCACATGATGATTTCCGCTTCCTAGTCAAGTTGGCTTTTTTCCCGCACAGTAAATCCCCGGTTATCTAATAAAAGCATAATCCATGAAATAACAGACTGCCTCTTTAAGTGAAGAAGAAAAAACACTAATACATGTGCTATCTCAGCAGATTGCAGACGGTGTACAAACACAGACCGCTGGGGGGGGGGGGGGGGGCAGACTGCGGTGTCAACTTACTGGATTTAACCACAGCCTGAGTCTGTGCTGACGTCCCGGACGCGATGTTGGTCAGAGCCCAAGCTGCCTCAAACTGAAGAGAGGGGCTGGAGGGCAAAGAAAACACAAAAGCAGTTAAAAGAGGGCTCCTTTACTTTTGGTCGATTGAGCATGTGGAAGCGTAGAAATCCCTCTGCATTAAGCTCTTCAGGGCGACAGAATCTAGAAGCGTAGTGACTATAGAAAGAAAACGACTGATCGTCTCTTCTTCCACAAGAAAAACACCAAAGACTGACATTTCGAGTGCCTCATGCACCTTTGTGTCAAACATGCTCCAGTTCAGAAGCCGCTTTATAACAAACCCTCGGAGTAGTTCAGGAAGTGATTTGTATTTCCACAGTCCTTAGACTTCCCATTTAAATTCTTGTAGACATCCCCCTCCCTTCATACAGGTGCAGAATAAACATGTTTGATGGCTATTGGCTGAAGTCTTTGTGATGTGTTCACATGCAACTTCTAAAACATGAGAGACTTCAAGTGATGCAAAAGTCAGTTGTTTTTTTGCAGCTAGTTCTTTGATGTTAGACGGTGTATCTGGGGCTTAATCAATATGTCTGCTTTTTTTTTTTTTTATTTCTTTAGTACTAGCCTGGTTTCTACAGCCATGTTACTTCTTTAGCCTTTAATCAAAAGCTTGTTAATCATCATGTGAAGTTTTTTTTCTCTCCCTTAATTTGAATTCTTAATTAACAGTTTCACAAGCAACGTGAAACCCTAGTGAGAGTAGAGAGTTTTCAGCAAATAATACATCTGACAACAGATCAGGAGTCTGGGCTTCATGCTGATTGGTGGACTGGGGCTGAGCTCAAAAAGGAAGAATATGAAAATGATGCAACACACACACACGCAATAAAAAAAAAATAATAAAAAAAAAAAAAAAATCACACAATTGCAAGTGATCCTCACACCACCCACAAGCCAAATGCTAGTGTATTATGGTGATGTGTGGCAAGTCTGTCTACCCCGTTAAATATTTCATCAGGCAACCAACCATGATCTGCAGCTCCGACTGGTTTTTCAGAAGGTTTATCTGGGATTTAAAAACAGGAATCAGGGCGTGGTTCTATTTGTGATGTAATCAGCCTTTGTGTGGCTATCTGTGGATGTAAAGTTTGATTTCCTGCCCTTTCATGCATTTGAAGCTTACATTTTAATTCCCCAAGAAAGACCAATGGAGGTCATTGTCATGCTGTACATTGCATTCTGAGTCTGTAGCTCACTATGTTATTAGACTGAGCTGGCTTGGCTTGCTTCCATAATGCCATGGCAACATAGACAAGTGGACAATTTTCTCCTGCTGGATACACATGGGTGGTTTGACATGCATTGTTGATTCCTTCATAAAAATTTAAAAAAATGTCCAACATAAGCTGGTGTTACATGTGAGCAAGAAGTGGTTATCAGCTGCCGTGGTAAAGTCTCTGCAACCTCTTCCTACAAGTCCCCCCCCCCCCTTATTGAACACAAGGTCCTGGGAATTTGGGAACTCTGAGAGGCAGGAATGCTGTTATATTTGGCTTGGCCTGGACTGAGAAGACCAGCCAAGTGCCCTGCCTGCCTCCACACACTCTCACGTGTGGACACAGTGGGACAAACACACACAAACTCTTGCAAACAAAACCCCTGTTGCGGCAGAGACTTCTAGTTGCAGTGATAATCCAGCACAGCAGTCTGCAGTCTTAACAACCGCGACACAACGCTCATCACATCAGAGGAAAAAAAACAACACTGAAGGCAAAACACAAACTGTCACGGGGGGGCAGACTTACTTGTCGTCCCTTTCCAGGCATTTGACTAAAATGGGCAGGATGCCAGACTTTATCAAGTCGTCGATGGGGGGGTTTCTGTCACTCGAGAGCAGTTTTCTGAGAAGAGCGAGAAAAACAAAGTTTAAGTAATTCATATATTTAAAAAAATGCTGGAGCTGTGTTTTCTGTCAGTCACCCACCTGGCTGCCTGTACAGCACTGAGCTGGATTACAGCATTATCACTGGTAGCGTTCTGTAAAAGAGCAATTCATGTTAATAAGCAAACACTTGAGATATATTGTTTGTACATTAGGAGAGGGAAATAAATAATGTGATTGAATGATTTGAGCTCTCACCTGTAGGATGGCATCAAGCGTAACATTTTGCTACAGTGAGAGAAAAGTAGAGTATTAGCAAAGTTAGCTTAGCATACTTTAACATCAAGGGAAAGGGAACACCAATCAGAAAAAAGTAGAAGGCACCAAACTGTTCTTAAGGGTTCAGTAACACTAGAAGTGTCTGCTGTCTTTTGACAGTTGTTGATGGCTTATTACTATAAAAAACATGGACAGATGTAAGTGTTGGCACATGGATGTTTGAAATACTTTGAGACATAACAAACTAAAAATACTTGAAGACAATACCCAGCTTGACAGACCCCTGATTAACACAGCTTTACACAATATGATTTATCTATCTCAGTGGGGTTTACATTTTTTAGAGGTCTATACAGAGACTATCAGAGCTTACTAAACCCATTTTGGTGTCAGATACGATAATTATTTACATATAGCGCTTGGTGGCTGTTGAAAGAAACAGACGACAGAAATGACAACAAGCCACACCTCCTCTTTCTCTTATAACCATTACCAGGCTGGATTGTTTCTGCACCGACTTACAACCTGGATAACTCGTTAGTATTTTCAAGATCGACATCTCTTTTTAATTTTTCCAGCTCTAAAATGTGTCAACATTTTCATAAAACTGTAATGTGCTGAAATAAAGTGGAGACACTAATGTTGAATGAAGCAGTCCTATCAGGACTCTAGTCTACATTCATCTTCTCCTCTGTGCTGCTGTGGGCCATCAGAGTGGCTGCCATTTTTACTTGTGATAAAAATGGAGGCTGTCACTTTAAGGCGATCATTTTATCCTCTACTAAAAAAACTAATTAGACAACAATGGCTTTTGAGTTAAATACATTTTGCACTGCCTGTAGCAAAACTCTGCCCACATACAATAAACAACAACATGTTGAGAAACTAAAAGATTGTTTTATTTTACAGCCACAGACTTTATCCAAAAGGATTAATGGTAAAGGTTCATTGCTAAGGGGTGCACAAACAGAAATCCATTCAACCTAATTGCATCGAGGTTGTGGAGGAAGTTTCAGCAGCAGATATTACTAAATGATCAAAGATCTGCTTTGACAGCAACAAAGATAGAAGAAAAATGGCAAAATCAACTCACTGGAACAGACATCCAGTTGCTTTAAAGCAGTTGCACCAGATTGAGTTCACTCGGTTATTATTGGAACTTGTAAATGTTGAATTTTGAACAGTTGAAACTCCATGACAACTACATCTGCTCAGGAAGAATGGGTGATATGATTGACAGCTACTAGACAGACTTTTTTTCCTTGTCAGCGGGTGGGCTGGTACTTTGGGTAAATTGGCTCAGAACGTAAGAGCACAATAATATAATTTCGTCTGTGAATTATTTTAATTGGGAGGTTAAAAGAGAAATTCCACATTAAGACAATTTTACATTTTAACCGCAGCTCTTTTGCTTCTTTTCAAAATTCCCAATGCCCAACGGACTTGAACCAGTCTGACCTATTATCCAGACAGTCCAGTCTCACTTCATCACTCCCGCTCAAGAAACACACCCACACTTACTCCTTTGAAGTCTGAGTCGACATCAGAGTCCTCCAGACTCTCCTCCTGCGGGACGTTTCTCTTCTTCAGTAGATGTTCGTCTCGTTTGTTCTGACAAGAAAAAAAAAAAAAAAAAGACAGAAAAGCAATGAGGGGAGGAGATGAAAGTGCTCATTAATGCATTCATGAATTCTTAAAGTAACAGAACATAACTTATAAATAGTTTCTTTCCCCCAAACTTTTACTTTCTGATACACATGGTAGGAAACCCAGCCTTAAGAGGGAAAGTCGGAGAAGTCCTGTGCGGGCTTGTTGGAAGCAATCATCACAGTCTTCTTTGAAGGACACTGAACTTTTACCCTCTAGCCCTCAAAATGTTCTCAAGCCCCCCCCCCACAGTAAATCAGAGGCAACTAAGTACTTATAGACAATAAGAGAGACCCACACATCCCATCCATTGGCAGGGCCTGTGAGTCAGTGGTAGGAGGAGATTCCCTTGCCCTACATTCCTGTGCGTCGTGCTGATGTGCGTCACTGATGACTAATCAGCCAGTGCAGTGCTTCTTGCTGCTCTGATCCCACTAAAGGAAATGTGCTAGACTTGAGGACACCTCAGGACTACACAGCAGTGACGTTCTGATTCTATCACCCCTGGCTGTAGCTCTCTGCTCAACATGCCTGTTTTCCCAGTATTATCAGACTTTCTCTTAAATGCAATCTGAAGTCTTTATTTTGTAAGAATTACAAGCTCAGTTGACCTCATCATGCCTTCAAATGGAAATCTGATCATCATTGCATAGTTCATTTTGAAAAGATGATCTCCACCTGCAATGTGACCGTGACAGTTTCCGGTATGTGCTGTGCCAGGCATTTTTTTAATAAAATTCTTTTTTTTTTTTTCAGGAAAGTCTTGGAAATATTATTATATTTTGTATGGCCAATGTTCCCAGAGCAAGAGTGCACCTTTCTTTTCCTCTACCTACACATGCCTTTCTTATCCCAGGAAGGGAGCAATTTTCCTCGGAGCTTTTCTTTCCAGGAAAGGACTTACTGCTTTCCAGGAAAGAACTAAGACCTCTGTTAAAGTCCGAAGGCACACCTGCAATTAGCCTGTGTCATCATGACCGTGGACAGAGACTCAAAGTGAGATCTTTGAGATTGCATAATGGAAGTGATGGTTGTGATGGGTTGCTCTTTCTCTCAGTTCTCGCATTTAAATCAGTATCAGAGAACGCTTACCACAACACCAGTAATTCATCCTTTAACAAACCTGAATCAGTCTCCAACTGTGAGAAACTAAAAACTATCTCAGACCGCTAAGCCAGTTTGAAAATGTGCATAACCGAACAAAAATAACACACAAAGGGAAAGCAAATCATTAAAGATACTAACTCTTGTTGAGCTGTATTCAAACCTTCCAGACCAGACATTGCAATGCAAAAACCTGATCATCCAAGTGTGACCAAGCCGCAGAAGAAGTATCTGCTTATAGATTATGCTGAAACAAACACTAAATATGTTTTAAGTTTCTTTCCAAGTGCGCCTTTTGTTCCAAGTTCTGACCGGAAAATCTGTTTGTATCAGCAAGAAATATCCCACCAGGCACTGTCGCAGTGTCAACAGGGCATTTCTCCAAGTGAGTGTGGAACAACTCTAAAGCATCACACAACATGCTAAAGTCTAAGCTAAGTTCCTTCTGAAGAAATCACAAATACGTTTCCCCAAACGACCTACATTTTATTACACCTGAATTGTAATCGCAGGGCAAGTTTTGCTTTTATTATTTTAGCAAGGGAGGATAAATAAAGAGGCCTTCTGTAGGGAACAGGCATTGTGTATCAGACAACAATAGAGAGAAACGACACAAGCACTACGTCTGCGGATCCATCATAAGAAAACTTTAACTCCTAAAAGCTTTTTTTTTGGCATCTTGTAGGACTCTAATTGTGTAAATGTTATTGAAAGATGAAATAGCAGTCCTTCACACACAGGAAGGTTTAAGAAATAGCATGTGGGTAACACATCCATCCAGCATGTGTGATTCTACATCCATGTAAAACATGGTGCTGGTGTTTTCTGCATGGCTGTTGTGATGTCTGGATGGAACTGGCTCACTTGTGTTCACTGATGAGGTCACTGCTGACGGCAGCAGAAGGATAAAATGAATGCATACATCGTGTTCTTTTCAGATCAAATTAAATTCAGCTAATCTTTTTTGGCAAAGGCAACATAAAGCAGCAGCAGCACAATGATCCCAAAATGACAAACTACTTTTGCATGCACCAACTGCACCTGCTTGTGCAATCTTCTGTGCATGCATCAGCTCCTTTTTCTTTTCAATTCATCACCGTTCTGAAAAGTTGTAGTGCAGAACAAAAGCAAACTAAACAAACACAGTTGTGTTGTGACAAAGAGTGATTCCGGACAAACAATTTTTAGTGCAACATCATTTAGCCCCAGAAAATGTTGGCAATTTTTAATGCAGGCCTGTAAACCACTGATTGTGCCATTTTCTATTTTTCAAATTATTTAAAAAAGAAATGTAATTGCCCTTGGAAAAGCAATTATATACAAGATATTTTCAATTGGCCTTGACCACAACAGCTGCTAGTAATTTATGTTGGGCAACAGTATAGCTACTTAATTTGAGCTAAAAAAAAATGGCGGTTTTCTGAGGATACTTGGCTCAGATGTGGATAATTAATCTTAATTGTCTCAACTAGTCAAATGAGACAATTAAACTGTACTGTTGTCTGATTAATGTGCTGTCTGCATGGTGGCATCTGCACTATCTAAATATCCATAGCTAATAGGTTTTGGGGAAGTCATAAATTGGTATCCTACTTGAAGTGTGTTAATTTTACCATTCAATATGAAGTATGAGTCTGTTAAGTTGGGAGCTAGCTTCACAGATAAACATTTCAGTGGGTGAGAAATTGTAGATAAAAAACGTCACTCTGAATGTACCATTGGAGCACAATCCAGAAGACTAGCAGAAAATCATTCAATTTAATAAAGTGTGCAAACAAATCCAAGGCAGGCGGCTCTTCGTAATTAATAAACCCTGACTCTACCAATGAGTATTGACGTGTTGTATCCAAGACAATCCACCATCCTGAACAGAATGTATCCAAGACAATCCACCATCCTGAACAGAATAAATGTAGAGGTGTTCAAGTAACAGAAAAATGGCTTGCATCAGGTTTCACGAAAATGTTTAGTCAGTTGAAAGAGAGTGTGACAGTGGTTTGTGAGGAAGTTAACTTAGAGACCATACAGCATGTTTTGATATCATGGAACAATGTCAAAGGGTCTCCAGGTGCCGTGAACCTTCCTATCTCTTGATGATACTCACAGCTTGTGGCTTTTTTTTTTTTGCCACAACTAACGTTTTTCTGTTGCAAGGATGCCTCCTAATTGCTCTCAATATCTGTCCAAATGTTTTCAATCACCCAATTCAGATGAACATGTTTCTGACGAAGATTTAGAATACTTTGACTGAAGCAGTGTGTGTATGCAGATGGTGCATCTTTTCTTACCTTTCTCAGCTCGACTGTCACCTCATTTCGATGTCTTCTCATAGTCTGTTGTAAAGAAGGAGAAAGTATAAAGCACGTTAATGAGGAAAATACTAGAAAAAAAAAGTTTCGGTCCCTCAGAACCTTTGTCAAGTGTGTGTACTTGGCAAGAGTAGTGTGCGGGTTTCTTCTTAAGTAAAAGGGAACAATCTTTAAAATTAAGCAGCAAGTAGATACATTATTACAGGCCAGCGTTCTTTTTTTTGACTGAAGCCTTAAGAATGAACTTTAAGAACAAGACCGAGAAAATGGTTTAAATTACTGCTGTGTGTCCAGTTGGGGTTTTTACTTTTCAGTTCATCCTGAACAGTTTGAGATGGTCCAACATCTTGTGACTGTTTCAAGAGGTTCATGTTGCCTTCCTAAATAGCCCTTTACGTAATCTGGGACAGTCATAACTCAGGAGGCTGCGGAGCACAGAGGTATCTCCTAGCTACTGCTAAACAACAATATGGCACTCCATTGACTTCAACAAAACATGTTTCATTGAAGACAAAGTAACATCAAAAACAACAATCAAGTATTACTGTCAAAGGATTAAGAATACCAACGTTGACTGAACGTCTCCTAATTTGATTGGCTTCTTACCCAAACAAAGCTTTCCTCTTTTTCTTTACCCAAACATAAGCTTTCAAGAAATAATATGAAACCAAAATGACAAAGCTGCAGGGGCCCACTAAGGCCCCACAGTTAGTGCACAACAAAACAAGGACCTGATATTCTGCGATGCAAGAAGGATACGGTAGGAAAAGGCTTGATATCCACAAGTACTGTTTATTTCCACATCTTTATGCTATCAGGAAACAAATGAGGAACGTTTGACATACAGTATAAAAGACTAAACAGCTTCCCTAGTGATGTCAGTCATGAAGAGCAATCTGTTATGCCTGACCTACATTAATAAAAAAAACCCAACTGGCATATCTTCCCTCGCTGTGGTCTGAGTCATCTATTAAGGAAAACTCAAATTCATGCAGACGCTCTAAAGAGGACCTGTGTCAGACATCCAAGATGCTTGAAATAGCATCAGGAATGCATTTGGCAAAGACTGTCTGTCATAGTAGCCATGTGCTTGTCACACTGACTCCAAGTTTCAAAACAACAACCTCTGTAGGATCAAAGTGTGCTTTAAGTCAAGCATGAAGGTCCATTTTCAGAGACTTGTTGGGTGTCTTTGTTGGTAAGATAATAAAGTGGCCCTTTGATAAATCACTTGTTTGTCTGTCACATTAACATTCTTCTTCAGTCGATCAATGCTTGGTTGCCTTAGCTGGAATAGTCTTAACAGTCTCTGCCAAATGGTTTTGCCATCATGTCAATGAGCATTACAGACTAATGCTGTCACAGAGATTTATAATTAGACTTGTTAGTTGAATGATGCTGCAATACAAACCCGGCTTTTTACACGGTCTGTTAGCCACTAAGACTATACTGGTGGTGTTTTCTAGAATATGTGACCCTACCAGTAAAGAAATCACAATTGTCCTTAACATTATTGTCCAAGCCCGGCGCAGTCTAGGCCTGTGAAGGCTGTTTCGTCATGAGCCGGGGATCCAGCTGAAGATTTCTGCCTTTTAATAAGGCTGTTTTTTCTTACCACTGTAACTTTTACTGCTTTGCGAAAGTGCTCATGATGGATAGGCCGGGTCTTTGTAATATAATAATGAGTAAGGTCTTTTACCTGCTTTTTGTAAAGTGTCTCGAGATAACACTTGTTATGAGTTGACGCTATACAAATAAAAATTGATTGATTGATTGAATTGATTGATTATAAATATATTTAACGAACATGTCTTAGTATACCATATAAGTTATTTGCGTATTTAATGACTGCTAGCTCAATGAGTGTATCATTAATTAAGTCTTATTTTTGCTCTTGTCGTTTCTACTCGTATAAAACAGTTTATTTAAGAATACATTTTCCGGTATTTCACATGAAAGAGAGCGGTAAACTGAGGCCATCGCATCATTACTTATCTTACTTTGTCAATTTATGTTTAACCCCCTCCCGTTTGCCACCAAGAACTCTGGACTAATAACTCTGAAGCTATCTATTGAAAAGTACACTCAGTTTACTGCACATTGCACAAGTTTACTACTTCTTTAAATTTCATTTTACTTTATTTACCATTTTGTTTTGTACCTTTTGCACAATTTAGAATGTATTACTGTAATACTATTTTATTTTATCTATTTTACCTCATTTTATTTTATCTTATTTTGGTTGTATTGCACCACGGGATGGAGACAAACACAATTTCAATTCCACTGTATCTCTGCATATTTTAAAATTGACAATAAAGTTGACTTTGACTTTTTTAATTATATTTACTTTTATAGTTTTGTTTTTTTAATCCTTTAATCACTTGTTTCTATTTCTTTTCCTGCTCTTACCTTCTTATTGCTGTTATCTTTTGATTTGCTTTTAACTCTTTTAGTTTCTTACATCTTTTAAATCTTTGGTTCCTCTTGGTCTCAGCTCGTGTTGTTGGGTTCTTGTGATGGTTCTAATGATGGTTCTTGTGATGGTTCTTGTGTTTCCTGGGTTCTTGTGATGGTTCTAGTGATGGTTCTTGTGATGGTTCTTATGATGGTTCTTGTGATGGTTCTTATTATATATGTATGTTGGGTATCGTGCACTTTGGGTTCTTTTCTGTTGAATTCTATTTAATTATTTTTTGTATTTTGCATTAATATTAATGTTTATGTTCTTGCTGTGTTTGATTTAGTTTGTCAAAGCACTTGACAACCTTGAAAACCTGTGTTTTTAAAAGCTGCTGTATAAATAAAGTGATTATTATTATCATCATTATCATTATTATAATAATAACAGCTGACTAACTAACCAGGCTTTACCTGCTACCTATCTGCTTTGACACCGCTAGCATGCTAACAAGGAGGGGCAATGTTTGGTCAGGGGGGGTTTGGATGTTGAACCAAAACATGTTATTCGACCCTAAACTCAGCGTTTTACTGACAATGCCAAATTCTCATAAAAGCACTCACGTACAGCATGTGAGGAACTTAAAGCCATCTGACTTGTGAGGGGAAGAAGAAAGTGTCAAACATGAAGGTGCCGGTCAGGCCCAGCTAACGCTAACTAGCCAAGTTAGCATTAGCATGGCAGTGACAGCTACACCGCCTGCTCTTAATTCCCCCGATTCAACCGGACAGCTGTGATGTTGTTTACTTTTAAAAAAAAAACATTAACACGTCAAAAAAATTAGTAGGCCTCTCCTCTTACGTTAATAATGATTATCAGCTGCTGTGATTCAGCGCTGTGAAGGAAAAGGCCAATAAGCACTTTGATGGCGAACTCTTCCATGTTAGCTTCAATATGCTAGGTGGCTAGCTGGCAGCTGCAGCCGGGGCCAGGCTCCCCCTCAAAAGAGGCCCAAACACTGGGGATTAAAATGTAAAAACTGTGTATATTCAGACTGTTCACACTGTCATTAACGCGTTGTCTTACCTCGACATCTCGTCCCTTGTTTTTAAAGCTCTTGATGCGGTGTTCCAAGCCGGCGTTTTCTGCCATGGCTGCGCGCGGGGGGGGTTTAGCTGTTACTCCGGCTGTCGGGATCTCCTGCGTGAAAAGAGACGAGAGGTAAAGGCAGCTCCTGTGCTGCTGCTGGAGGAGGAGGAGGAGGAGGAGGAGGGGAGGGGAGGGGCGGGGCGGGGGGGGGGGAGGGTGACGTCACAGAGCGCAGCAGAGAGAGGGGGAGGAGCTAATGCCTCCTGCATGGGCTGTCCTGGTTTCCCCGGCTTCCTCGACGCAGTAATAATAAATTCACCTTTGACTTACTGGCCACTAAAAAACATCCTTAAAACATGTAATCTGTAAACCAGAGTCAATCTTTTATTTATTTATTTATTTATTTATTCATTTATTTATTCATTTATTCATTGATTTATTTATTTATTGATTGATTGATTGATTGATTGATTGATTGATTGATTCATTTATTCATTTATTCATTTATTTATTTATTTATTCATTTATTCATTTATTTATTTTATTCATTTATTCATTTATTCATTTAATTATTTATTTATTCAGTCATTGATTGATTGATTGATTGATTGATTTATTTATTTATTCATTTATTCATTTATTTATTTATTTATTCAGTCATTGATTGATTGATTGATTGATTGATTGATTTTTGATTGATTGATTCATTGATTTATTTATTTATTGATTGATTGATTGATTGATTGATTGATTGATTGATTGATTGATTGATTGATTGATTTATTTATTTATTTATTTATTTGTTAGGGACAGTGCATATTAATCCATTTTATATCAGTTTACTATTCATACAGTTCTGGTTACTTTTCTGATGTCTCTTATCCATCATCAAAATCAAAGTCAAAGTCAACTTATTTCAATTTCAAAATATGCCAGACATACAGTTGAATCGAAATTGCATTTGTCTCCGTCCCGTGGTGCAATACAACCAAAATAAGGTAAAATAAGATAAATAATATTTGCAGTAATAAATTCTAAATTGTGCAAAAGGTACAAAATGGTAAATAAAGTAAAATAAAAATAAAAATAAAAATAAAAATAAAAATAAAAATAAAAATAAAAATAAAATAAAAATCATTGCACTACAATGACTTTATTTATCTAATTTTTACCTTTACAGTTATATTGTTTATATTAGTTCTGTTGTTCCATTATTCACCTTATTAACTTATCATTTAGTATCTCGTATTTAGCCTACTTACACATAGCTCTGTATATATATATTTATTTCTCGTTTACTGCACATAGTTCTGTTTACATCTGGTCACTACTGCACATAGTTATGGTTACATCTGTTTACATCTGTTAGTCCGATCACTGTCCACTTATATCTACTCTTTTTATATTTCGTATTTTAAGTTAAGTTTAAGCTTTAAGTTGTATTTAAATTGACACTTTCTATTTAGGTTAAAATGTTTCGTACTTGCACTTTGTTGTTAATTTACTGCTCTGTGTGCCTTTGAATTGCCCCCCGGGGACAAATAAAGTTTTTTGAATTGAATTGAATTGAATTACAGCTGTAAAAAAAAAAAGACAGATTATAGCAGAAGTGCTCGTTTCCATCTGTTGTCCCTAGGCAGGTAACAGAGACAAATTACAAATAAAATACAAATACAAATACAAAGGCACAAGTGACACAAGACAATAATAGAGGTTAAAGGTTAAAGGTGGTCACAGACTTGGTTTTCTTTTATCCACTGTTTGAGGTGTGTTTTGAAGGTTGCATGTGTTTGTGAGTCTCTTATTGTGAGCGGGAGAATATTCCAATATTTAGTTCCTTTGACTGACAGAACAGTTTGTCTGAATGTAGTGCGTCTGTGTGGGACCTCACAGTCTCCTCGGGCTGTGGCCCCTGGTGCCGATCCCACTGGCAGACTTCGGCTTTATAAAGTCCTTCAAAGGAGGAGGAGCAAGTCCGTGCAAGATTTTATATATAAAACATGCACTTTTAAAATTAACAAAATTATTAAAATTTTGTAAATTATGTTTATCTAAAACAGTGCAATGGTGAAACAAAAATGGCTTTTATAAAATTATAAATATTTTAATATTTTTTAAATCTTTAAAGATAACAGGACACAGGAAAAAGTATGCTTCAGACATAAAAGTTTAATGAATTAACAACATTTGGATTTGCTTGTACAATATCATCATTAGTGCAAAACAAAGACAGGCTTTTGAAATATTTAACTGTCACACTTCAGCAGCAGAAATGCAATGCCAATCCAATACAACACAACAGATTGACATGTTTTAACCATATTATCTCTGACCAGAGACAACCAGCACCAGCTGTGATTATATTGATATTTAATATAAATACACCAGTTAAGATTTCAGTATGAGGAAAGTGTGGCAAGAATTAAAGGGCTGTTCGAATAAGTGTTGAAGAAATCGATCTTTATGACATATCAGGGTCACAGATTTGAGATTTTTATTTTTACTTAAACATTAATCAGCACCGCACCTGAGCAGCATCCCTCAGAGAAAACGCGACGGGCTATCCCTTGAAATCTTTAGTTTTACTGAAGTTAGTAGGCTAAAAAAAAAAAAATAAGTCAACTAAATTTCAAAGTGTTTTGACTGTTGCTTTGATTTCCACTTCTAATCAATGAAGGCAGCGTAAAGGTTATTGTGATTTTGCTGCCTGATCAATATTGACAGCTGATCCTTCATTACGTTGCAAACTTTGGCTTGCCTCTCGGAAAAAAGAAAAAAAAAAGCTTTGCCACATAGAACACTTATCGCTTGATCTCTGTCTCAAATAAATACAAATAAATATAATGGTGCACGCTGGGATGTCAGTAGATTGCAATAAAAAAAATCATAGTAAAAAGCTATTTAAATGACACATGGCTTCTAATCCTGAATAATGGAACTATTTTACCATCACAGAAGTAGGCTGCAATTTTAAGTGTTTCAGTTAATATTATAGGGTGATCACTACTGACAAACGGTAATGAGATTTGAATGGTTTTGCATCAGCACAGACTGGAACAGCCCATCTAATACGACCTACGATCAGGAATCCCTGCTCCTTCAAGGGCACTCCAGCGTCGGTCCAGAGCAGCAGCACAGACACACGGTAATCAGGGGGAAAACAAAACAATAGGCTATCAAGCCACACAGAATGATATAAAGCAATCAAGGTCAAAGTGTAGTGTCACAGAGGTGGCGAGTAGATACGATGGGAGGACGGCGGCTTAAAGAGGGGCTGAGTTCTCCTTTAGAAGATCTGTTGTTCAAAGAGGATCTTCTCAAATCCGTGTGGAGCTGTGTGGTAGAAGTCACTAAACTGGCAGTCTAAGATGGCACTGTCATCCACTGAAAGAACAGCAGAAAGAAACACATGTTGACCTGTTATACAGACATAGACAGTATTTAAGACTTAATAAGGAAAGAGAAGACACAAAGGCCATGCCAGGGTGTCAAATGTATGAAGAAATGAGACCAAAAAAAAGCTTTTTTCATGTTGATTATTCTTATTTTTAACAGATCACACTCACATGTGGAAAGGAGTCCCTGAAAGCCCTTTAAATTCTACGTGATAAAGTACAATGACATTGAATTGATGTCGTCTTTATCAACTCTGGAGTATTAATAAAAGAAAAAGCAAACACTCCAACCCTTTTCTTCTTTTTTTTTTCCTGCAGAAGGTATTTGCTCTGCAGCAATGAGGTCAAATGTCTCGTAAGAACAACTATTTGAACATAATCTCTGGGTACACAATGTGACATTTTGTATGAGCTCGTTAAGACTGAAATCTTTGGGAGCAGGAATGTTTTTGTTACATACAGTAAGCATGGTGATTAAGTAATCATACAAACTACTTCAGAGCTCGAAGTGTGCTCAAACAATCTACAAAGTAGAGCTGCAATAATTCATTAATAGCCGACTATTTCGATTACTGATTAATAGCTCTGAGTCACTTTTTTTATTTGAATGTATCTGATCCGAGTTTACCAAACGGAATTAATTCAGGTTTATTTACTCTTACTGTTGTGGACAAAGGGAGACCTTTTACTAAAACTACCTCTTAAATACTATCAATATTATTCAACACCGTCATGTATTCCAGGAAATCATTGGCAGATTGATCAACAGTGAGAAAAATCATCATTTGAAGTCTCTGTTTTGTTTTCTGATGTGTCAGCCTGAGGTTGATATTTTCAGGTCTCAATCACAACTCATCATCTGAAAATCAATTTACAAGTTTTGAATGTATATTCAATCCTTTCTAGTGTTTCTCCTATAATTAGAACAATAACTTTATGTATATAGCACTTCTGTAAACAAAGTTACAAAGTGCTTTACAGAATGCATCAAACTAAATAAAACTTAGACTACAGTACTTCACAACACAGGATAAAACATTGCCAAGTTAGAAAATGATGAATAAGAATTAATTTAATTAATTAAAGCAGGACATGAATGACTAATCTATCATTCTAAAAAGCCTCCCCATAAATGATATGTTTTAAGCAAAGATTTAAAAACAGGTACAGAGTTTGCCAGCCTCATGTCTTCGGGTAGGGAGTTTCAGAGCTCAGGGGCTCTGATGGCAAATGCCCGGTCGCCCTTGGTAACCAGACTTGACCTGGTGATGGTGCTCTCGATGATCTTAGATCACGACTTGGAGCATAAGGTGTCAAAAGTTCTGTAATGTAAGGGGGAGCCAGACCGTGTTGGGTTTTTAAAAGTTATTTATAATTTTAAAATCAGTCCTGAAGGTAACGAGCAGCCAGTGAAGGGAGGACAGGATTTGGTGTAATTTGTAATGGTTGAAATCTGGGCAGCAGCATTCTGCACTTATGCTAACTATGCCAGGAAACCTAGCAATGGAGGCACACAGAGCAGGCATTGTAGTTTGTGAGAAATCAACTGTTAGTTTAAGGGGGGGGGGGGGTGTTGCTATGTTACAGTGCCACAACAGCTTTTGCAACTAATATGGTGAAAACTTGGAAAATTAAAAATGTAAGTGTTTTCTACTGGCAGCTTTTAATAAACATGACTTAAAAATAAATGTAATGGCAGGCACCACTGGTTTCAATAATTGCATAAACAGTCTAGGCAGCTTAATTCTGTAAT